CTTCACACCGAAACCGGACGGAAGCCTGCGCATGTGCATCGACTACCGAGCTCTTAACAAGCAGACCATCAAGAATAAATATCCGATACCGCGAATCGATGACCTGCTTGACCAGCTTCGGGGAGCTACGGTATTTTCCAAACTGGATCTGCGGTCCGGATACTGGCAGATACGGATGGCGGACAACTCTATCCACAAAACTGCTTTTCGAACTCGGTACGGATCATACGAGTATTTGGTCATGCCGTTCGGACTCACCAACGCACCGGCAACGTTCCAAGCCGAAATGAACCACATTCTACGACCACTTCTGGACGAATGCGTGGTGGTGTACCTGGACGACATACTCATCTACTCGCGCGACATGAAGCAGCACGTCGAACACCTGCGACGCGTCTTCGAAATTCTTCGACGAGAACGATTCTACGTCAAACTGTCCAAGAGCGAATTCGCCCTGGAGAAAGTCCAATTTCTAGGACACTTGGTGAGCGCTCAAGGAGTTCACGTCGACCCCAAGAAAGTCGAAGCCGTACGTACGTGGAAGACACCCGAGAACGTGAAGGAGTTGCAGCAGTTCCTAGGCTTCGCTAATTACTACAACAGGTTCGTGCCACAGTATGCGAAACTCGCGGCACCACTCACGAATCTGCTGAAGAAGAACACGCCCTACAAATGGGAGACGAAGCACCAGGAAGCCGTGGAGCAGCTGAAACAAGCACTAACGTCCGCACCGGTGCTCATCTTGCCAGATCCCGAACGCGACTACGTAATCGAAGCTGACGCCAGCGACCAGGCAGTGGGAGCAGTCTTGATGCAAGACCAGGGGAATGGACTGCAACCAATTGCCTACCTCAGCAAGAAACTGCACGGGGCAGAACTCAACTACCCGATACACGACAAAGAGGCTCTTGCTATCGTTATCGCCTTCAAAGCGTGGAGATGCTATCTCGAAGGACGAAGAACGACCGTCTACACCGACCACTGCAGTCTGAAATATTTGAAGACACAACCCAACCTTTCCAGGCGGCAGGTCCGGTGGATCGACTTCCTCGAGACACACTTCCACTACGACATCGTGTACAAGCCCGGCCACAAGAACAAAGCAGACGCGCTCAGCCGGCCTGCACACGTTGCCGCGATTCAGGTCGAAGGGATGAATCCACTACTCAAGGGACTCTTCACCCACGGGTACGCCATCGACCCCGAAATTTCCTTGGCAGAAAAGCGACATCTGCTACAGTGGGACAGTGACATCGCGTACCGGAAAGGATCAACAAAAATCTGGGTACCCAATTACCCTCCTTTGCGCCAGTTGCTACTCGAAGAATACCACGACGTCCTGTACGCCGGACACTTCGGTAGCAACAAGACGCTCACCGGTATCGCCAAACACTACTACTGGCCCCATATGGCAGACGACGTCCAGAAATTCGTCACCTCGTGTGATACATGTCAGCGGATGAAGAGCAGCAAGCAGAAAAAAGCGGGACTACTGCAGCCTCTTCCTGTCCCAGAACAACCATGGCAAGTGGTTAGCCTAGACTTCATCACCGGGTTACCACCTACCTCCAGCGGTCATGACGCCATCCTTGTCGTCATTGACAAGTTCTCCAAAATGGGACACTTCATCCCGACACACACGACGGCACGCACCGAGGAGACAGCACAGCTCTTCGTTCGTCACATCATCTCACAGCATGGCATCCCAACTACACTCATCTCCGACCGAGACCCCAAGTTCACTAGCAAGTTCTGGAAGGAACTTATGTCTCTGCTCGGCACCAAACTCGCCATGTCATCCGCATACCATCCGCAGACAGACGGACAGACCGAGCGCCTCAACCAAATTGTTGAGCAACTCCTCCGAGCAGCCTGCAAGGACGACATCTCCAAATGGGACTTGCACCTGCCCGTACTCGAGTTTGCTTACAACAATGCTACACATGCCGCTACTGGACAGACGCCGTTCTTCCTCTGCTACGGACGCCACCCACTCACACCACAAAAACCGACAGCATCACCTACAGTCCAACCTGCACACGATTTCATCACAACCATGCATCAACTTTGGGATCGGACCCATAAGCGCCTCCTTGACATTCAACAGCAACAAAAGCGCCAGGCCGATCGCCATCGCAACGACCACACCATTTCCGTGGGAGACCAGGTGCTCCTCGACACCCGTAACCTGGACATCAGCCATCTCCCATCTAAACTTCGACCTCGCTTCTGCGGGCCTTTCCTCGTTGAAGCACAGGTCACTCCTGTTACCTTCCGCTTACGCCTGCCAGCTACCTGGAAGATTCACAACGCCTTCCATGTCCAACTTCTGAAGCCCTATCGGGATCCTAACACGATCTTCGTCGGACGCCAACCGCCGCCGCCGCCACCCGTCCTCGTCCAAAATGAACCCGAATACGAGGTCGAGTCCGTGCTTGCACACCGCCGACGTCGGAATGGCACCGTGGAGCTTCTTATTCGTTGGAAGGGCTATGATCCTTCTGAGGACAGCTGGGTCTCTGAGTCCGACATGGGTAACGCCCGTCGTCCTCTGCATGACTACCTTGTCAAGCAGGGTGTTACTTCTACCACCCAGCTTTGAGGGGGGGAAGTGTGAGAGTACGCCTCCGTTACACCACTTGGCCTTTTCCATATTTCATCTTCATTTCATTCCTCTTTTTATCTCACCTCCTTTTGCCTCATATTCCCCATTTCCATTATCCTTTGGTTTCTTCCTTTATTATTATTATATCACCGACCAGGCATGGAATGTTCTAGACACGCTATCTAGCGTAATCCTGCTGTAATCCCTTAAAGCCAATAGCCTCGCGTGGCTATACGCAGGGTGATTCTATCTTCTAGAAGGGTCTATTCCCTTAGGATAAGATAAACCTGGTTACCTGATGTACTCTGGAAGTATAAAAGCGCCTTGTACTGATCGATAGTGCAACCTTTCCTCGACACATTCGATCCTGTGACACTGATGACATCCCTTTTTGTCCCAATGGTTAGGACTGGTGACTTTATGAATTGGTATCAAAGCCATCTGGGGTTCAATTCCTGGTATACGCGCAATCCCAGCAAGGGGGTGTGTCGTGGCACTGGGATAACCCTGTCGATCCTCTCTCTATCTCTAGGGAGGGTACTGGGGAGGTTTTCCTCGGGGAAGGTGGATATATGGAGCCTAACCCTCCTGATGACATCCCTTCTTGTCCCATTGGTTATGACTGGTGACTTTATGACTAGAATAGGTGATGAGTAAGACGAATCTACTGAGGTTAGAACAGGTGATGAGTCGGACAGAACCAATGAGGAAAGGGCAGGTGGTGAGTCAGACAGATCTACTGGGGATAGAACATGTAATGAGTCAGACGGATCTACTGAGGTTAGAACAGGTGACAATTCAGACAGAACTACTGAGGTCATAATAGGTGAAGTAGACAGAACTACTGAGGATTGAACAGGTGATGAAGCAGAGGGAAATGGGTACTCAACAAGTATTAACGGACACTGCGGGATGATGCGGCTCCAAAGCCTTCGATTAGCAGTACCAGTCGAAGCTTTCGCGGATCAAACAAAGACGCAATATGTAACAAGATATGCGAGACGGGAGAAAGGGAGAAAGTGTTGTAGGGGGTGGGAGATGCTGTAGAGGCCTATGCTGCAGGGACTACTGTGCTGGTCGGATGGCGGGACAAAGAGGTGGAATCATTGAAGGATAAATTCGCTGCACTTGAGGAGAGCCGTGAAGATCATAAGTTGTGGGAGGTGAGTATGAGGGATTGTTAATCACTCTCTTGTTTTCCACCATTTTCTCTCGCTTAAATGCAGATTCACAAGCATAACTTTGTGTGAAACCACGAGTAGAATCACGTGTAGAGCCTCAGGGATATAGAAACATAAGAGTCTGTGTTCATTAAAGAATGAATAAAATCAGCATATGCACGCCATTTTCTCCTTTCTGTCAATCTCTTTTCCGTGATTTTACTATTGGTACAGGCACTATTTAAACTATGGACCAGAGCAGTGACACGCGAGGCCGAAATCAATCTATGCGGTATCTCATGCCTCACAGATTTGGCTCTCTCTTGCCTCACCTCCTTGCACTACCTCAAAAGGCTCAAGCTCCACGGATCTTCAGGCTTCACTCCAAACGGCATCCGGCAGCTGTTCCCTCACCTGCAGCAGCTGGTGTGGCTAGGTCTATGGAACACTGACACAGCAGATGCTACTCTTGAAGGGATTACTCAGCTGAAGAGTCTCGGTCTTCTCATTCTGAACAATGCTAAGATAACAGGTGCTGGGCTAGCATAGCTGGAGGGGCTTTCTGCAACCAAGGTATTGTGCCTTATTGAAATTTGTGACGTCAGCTGCTATGGTGCATGTTGAGAGGCTGACAATACTGGAGATGTTGCAACTGGATTCTAGTGGAGTGAGAGGATGGAGTGGAGCACTTAACCGCCCTTTCCTGGTTAATTAACCTCTCTTTGCCTGCAGGAGTGAGTGATTCCGGAATTGAGCACTTGAGAAGCAGGAGACAGCTCGAGGGGCTTGAATTCAAGGATGCCTCAGTCAAAGTAACAGGTCTGCATTTGCTCAAGCACCTTAGCCGATTGAAGTGCATTGCAACGAAAGATGCAAACCTTGGGAGATTGATAAAGAGTGTTCTTCCTAGAATTGTGATCGTGAGGGTTTTACAATGAAAGGTACTCGCTTCCCTTATGACCATTTTGTAATTGGTTTGGGAATTTATGTACACATCTGAAAAGTGTATCTCTTTCGTATAACACTTTGTAACTGTGAAAGCACGCTCGTCATCGTTTCGCGGACTGCTTAGGCTTCTGCCCCTCCATCTGCGACTAGAGATTCGCCAGAGCAACCAAACCGTGATTTTAGACGGCCTGAAGCTGCTGACATCCTTTCTCAACCCTTTATTCGAAGTCACCGTCAGCTTGCTTTCCTTGAAAATGTCTCCGTGTAAATCGACGGCTTTCGGTGCGCCACGTGCGCTGCTGATCACAACCTCCCATTTCCTCCAAACCTTGGGGTTGCCTGTTCGGTTCGGCGGGAAAGTTTATCCCGCTGATTTCGTCCCAGCGCTTGGATCACTCTTTGTCGCCGCTGCTTCACCGTCGATTTTCCGTCTGTTGTATCCGCTTGAATCGCCTGTGAGCGTTGATCCTCCCTGGATCAGTGGAAACTGCAGCCCTGGCACAGGCATTCGCGGATCAGGTGATCTAGGAAAAGCCTTACCTAGAGAGTCTCCGGGAATTCCCCATTCAGCTTTTCTGATCAGCCAGCAGATAGCAGGAGAGCATCTGAACCCGGATCCACTATCCAGAAGCCGTTTCATGCTTCTGGCCCGATCCGTTTTCAGAAGATCTTCCGCTGCTTCCTCCTTGCCTAAGAATCTCAGGAGCTCCCGTCTTTGTTCGGCGTTCAAGATGGCTCAGGAGGGCGTTCTTCTCGGCATGGGCAACCCGCTGCTGGACATCTCAGCGGTGGTGGACGAGGCGTTCCTGAACAAGTAGGCTTTATTATCACACGAATTTCGTGGAGTTTTAGTTTCTGAACGAGAGTCTTCGTTCGTGTGAGACGGCTCTTGCTCCTCGGATTCGCCTCTTTCTTCTCGGATTCGCCTCTTTCTCCTCGGATTCGGCTCTTTCTAGCACTTCCAGACGAGCATGTTTGCCAGTTTATCGCGTACGGTGTCCCTATGCCGTTTGCATTTCCATTCAGGTACGACGTGAAGCTCAACAACGCCATCCTGGCCGAGGAGAAGCACGTTCCCATGTAAGTCAGTTGCGGCGTGAAGAATGCAAAGCGATAATCTGGTGTAGACCTACCAAAAAATGCAATGCTCAGAACGAAGCGGTGATCTGGTGATACACTTAACCCTTTTTTTTTTCCCCTTAGCGAAGCGGTTTCCCGTCAGAGCCATACACTTACCCTTTGTGGCGACGTATTGTGGGGGTTAGCCAGCCATTTCCGCACTGCCAATCGTTTAAATTGCACATTTTGCTATATCTGCTCTCACTTCATTCTCTGACTCAGAGGTCTTCCATTCGCCGTTTCATAACGCCATCTTTTTCCAAAGCAGCACAGCACGATTTTGACTGCGGGCTTTATTTCCCAACCTATGAAGCGATTCAACGTACAGAGGCCTATTTTTTACAACATGTAGAAGCGCTTTTGCTTTTGCAGAATTTCATCGCGTACTCGCAGGTACCAGGAGCCGAAGGACAAGTACCCGGTGGAGTACATCGGCGGTGGAGCCACCCAGTGTCCGCAATGACTTTCAAGTTGAGTTAGAAGTTTTCTCTCAATGTTCTTCTTTCTACAAAATACTTCGTTTCTACAGGTACCAGGAGCTGAAGGACAAGTACCCAGTGGAGTACATAGCCGGTGGTGCAACTCAGAACTCGATCCGCGTGGCTCAGGTCCGTGGTTCGGGTTCAGGGCTTGTGATTTTCTCTGTTCCCAAGTGGTCCGTGTTTTAATGGGCAAGCAAGGTACAGCAGGGCAGGTATAGCATGGAGGGAAACATGCAAGTATGATTTCTTCAGTTCCGTTCCCTCCGTTCCCTGCCAATACCCGTTTCTTGGCTCGGGGGTCACGTCAAGTCAAGTGCATGTTGAACAGCGAATATTTTTAATTGTTGTTGTTTGTTCTCTCTTCCGCAGTGGATGCTCCAAACGCCCAAGGCAGTCTCGTACATGGGCTGCATCGGCAAGGACGAGTTCGGAAAGGAGATGACCAAAAACTGCACGTCTGTTGGTGTCAACGTGAGTTCTTGAATGAACGCAATATCCACGCAATATCTCAACAACTCAGGGCCTGTTTCATTCCGAAATGACACTTCAGCTCTTACTGGCCTCTCTTCTTCATCCAAGGCGCGTCTAGTTTGGTGAATGCTGCACGCCGCTCTTGTGTCTCATGGTGTCCTGCTCACAACGTCACGTCTTGTACTTGTATCAGGTCCATTACAGGGAGGACGACACCACACCAACTGGCACCTGCGCAGTGCTGATCGTTGGCGGCGAACGGTAAGCCCGTCCCTTCTCGTGCTTCTCGTGCTTCTCGTGCCACTTGCTTGTTTCTGCACACGTATGGTCGTTGCCTTGCCGTTTCTTCTCTGCCTCGCCGTTTCTTGTCTCGCAGGTCCTTAATCGCCAATTCCGCGGCTGCGAATCGCTACAAGGTTCCAGAGAAACCATTGGTTGATTCCCGTTCTCTTCTCTTGTCTCACCGTTTCAACTCTGGCAGGTCTTTGATCGCCAATCTCGCAGCCGCGAATTGCTACAAGATCGACCATTTGCAGGCTGCAGAGAACTGGGCTCTCGGTGAGTCAGAGAGAATCACTGAACTGAGTCACTGATTCGGACAGAACTTCCAGACAGAGTGACCGGAAGCAGAACAGGTGATGAGTCAGACAGATCTACTGAGGATAGAACAGGTGATGAGTCAGACAGAACTACTGAGGGTAGAACAGGTGAAGTAGACAAAACTACTCAAGATAGAACAGGTGAAGTAGACAGAACTACTGAGGATGGAACAGGTGATGAAGCAGACAGGATTGGGCACTCAACACAACCGGACACTGGCCGATGTTTGCATTTCTCATGCCGAATTCTTGAACCGGAGACATAAGCCCAATACTTGTGTCCCATGGTGCATGCCATCCAAATGCCAAACCCATCTCTACACTGTGCGTAAGGCGCAGTGTTATTCCATTGTGTCCTTCGTTCTTCCACATTCTACCAGATAATATCCTTAAATCTGTTTTTGCACTCCTTGTCCCGTAGTGTTCTCTTCCTGTGGAGGCTTCTTCCTCATAGTTATTTTTGTTCTGCTCCCCATGACTTCGTCCGTCTTCTTGCGGTTCTGTCTCCCTTTGTTCCATGTCCCGTTCGTTTCTTCCAGTGGAGAAGGCGCAGTTCTACTACATTGCGGGATTCTTCCTCACAGTGAGCCCCGAGAGCATCATGGCAGTGGCCAAGCACGCGGCAGAGAAGAACAAGGTGAGAGTCAGGGGGAAAAAGGCTGGAAAGTGGGCGATATAGGGCCTTGGCATTTGTTTCTTTCTCAAAGTAAGCCCCGAGACCATCAAGGCAGTTACTAAGCTTGTGGCTGAGGAGATCAAGGTGAGGGTCAGGGGGGGCGGGGCAAGGGAAGAGAGTTCGCATATCTTTTCCTTCCCTGTACGGTCAGCCCCGAGAATGTATGTGGTTTTGGATCCCTCAGTATTATCTCCTCACCACATCTGCAGGTCCATCCCAAACCCCTAAATCCATGGCTGGCTGGTGTTCGCCTTTGTGCTGATTGAACCCTTGCTGCGCCCTTCATCTTCCACCGCTGAAACCATTGGTGATAAATGAGTTGAATATATAATATCATTTTTTGATTGAACTTGCTGCGCCCTTCATCTTCCACTTCTGAAACCATTACAACCATTACAACCATTACAACCATCTTCCCCCCGCCCTCTTTTTGATCAATTCCCCTCCCCGCCTTCCTCCCATCCCACCCACCCCAGGTGTTCACCATGAACCTAGCTGCGCCCTTCATCGCCCAGTTCTTCACTCAGCCTCTCATGGACGCCCTCCCGTGAGTGCTCCACTCCCTTCCCCCCTTCTAAGCTCCGATCCATCCCTCCACTGTCGTACATCACCACTCTCTCACTCCCCCACTCTGCACACTCTCCTGTGATTCATGTGGATTCCACCTCGCTGCGCCCTTCATCGCCAAGTTCTTCACTCAGCCCCTCATGGACGCCCTCCCGTGAGTTCCACACCCCCCCCCCCGCGGTCTCTGTGCCCTCCCGTGCCCCCCCCCCCCCCCCCCCGCGGTCTCTGTGCCCTCCCGTGAGTCCCCCCCCCCCCCCCCCCGCGGTCTCTGTGCCCTCCCGTGAGTCATGCACCCCCTTTTCCCCGCTCCCCCCCTCTCCCCCTCGAGTAATCCACTTTCATCTCCCAGTTCTTCACACAGCCGCTCATGGACGCCCTCCCGTGAGTCATGCAGGCCTCCCTCTCCTCCCCCCCCTCCTTTGCCAACTCTTCTGTGAGTCATCCCCACCCGCCCCTTTGAGTTCTCTACTTCCATCGCCTAGTTCTTCACTCAGCCACTCATGCACGCCCTCCTGTGAGTCCCCCTTATCTCACTTCTCCCCCCTCCTGGGCCATCTCTCCCGTGAGTCATCCCGCCCCCCCCCCCCTTAGAGTCCTCAAGTTTCATCGCCTAGTTCTTCACTCAGCCGCTCATGGACGCCCGCCCGTGAGCGCTCTACCTCCATCCCTAAAGTCCCCGCCCCCCTCCCTTTCGTCCGTCCCCCTCCCTCTTCTCAACCTCCTTGAGTTGACTGTATTGGCTTCTTGCCTGTTGTCTTTACACCTGACTTCTTGACCCCTGTGCTGTCCCTGTCCTGTTCGCCCCTGTCCTGTTCACCCCTGTCCTTTTCGCCCTTGTCCTGTTCGCCCCTGTCCTGTTCACCCCTGTCCTGTTCGCCCCTGTCCTGTTCGCCCCGTGTCGTATTATGCAGCTATGTGAACTACCTGTTCGGAAACGAGACTGAGGCTCGAACCACTTGAATAAACTTGCCCCCCTTTTTGACCTCGATCATCTTGCCTCCCCTTTTTGACGCCTCCCCCTGTTGGCCCCTCGTCCTTCTGTGCAGCTATGTGGACTACCTGTTTGGCAACGAGACAGACGCTCGAATCACTGGAATGACTTGCCCTCTTTTGACGCCTCCCCCTGTTGACCCCTCGTCCTACTGTGCAGCTATGTGGACTACCTGTTTGGCAACGAGACAGAGGCTCAGACCTTCGCCAAGGTTCAAGGGTGGGAGGTGCGTGTTGCTGTGATCTGGTCTGAACCGCACGTTTCGCCCTGTACCTCGTCCTAGTGTGATTTGAGTCAACTCAAAACACCCCTGGAAGCTGCATGCTGCGGATTTTACGTTCCGCAGGGCAGGACGCAACAATGGTGTGATTTGAAACCCATGTTTCGCCCTACACCTCACCGGCATAACTCTGTAACTCGGATATGCAGCCCTGCCTGACCGATGACTCTTGAACGTTCTATTTTCTTTAAGCTGGCAGGGAATGCGGAGGAGATTGCTCAGGAGATCTCGACCCAGCCTCAAGAGGTTTTTGTTCCGCATCTCTATTCTCTCAAATTTCCTCCCTTCCTCCTACACCACCCAACTGTCCCAAACAGACGGAGAACGTGCAGGAGATCGCCCTGAAGATCGCGGCTCTGCCTAAAGTGAACGAGGCGAGAAAGAGGGTGGTGGTGATTACCCAGGGCAAGGACGACACCGTCATTGCTGTGGATGGGAAGGTGAGTCTGGTGCAGGCTATATTTGTGAAATTCACTGTGTACGTGCCTTGCCTAAAGTGAACGAGGCGAGAAAGAGGGTGCTGGTGATCACACAGGGAAAGGACGACACTGTCATTGCTGTGGATGGGAGGGTGGAGAACTATGCTGGTGACGTGGAAGCTGGTTTTTAGCCGTATTTGCCTAAAGTGAATGAGGCGAGAAAGAGGGTGGTGGTGATCACATAAGGCAAAGATGACACCGTCATTGCTGTGGATGGGAAGGTGCGTTTGGTGTGACCTAAATGTATACCATGCAATGCTTACCAGTCCTGCCTTAAAGCCAGGGTCTCAAGTACCGCAACTGTTTTGCAGTTGGATTCAGGGGTTGGTTGGGATTGGTTGACGACGTGCAAAGTTTGGTTGGAGTTTTGACGACGGGTGGCGAGTTCGATTGGGTTTCGTTTTTACAAAACCGAACCAGCTAGGCACGGGCTTGGTTCGGTTACCAAGCCTAAAATGGCCCCAAACCCCCGTGGAAACTCAGAAGTCTCGAGTACCTAGACGTTGTTTTGCAAATGGTCTTGGGGCAAAGGGGTTCTGTCGCACAGCAGGCAAATTGCGAATTCGCGTACTCGAAACGGGGTATTCACGCAGCAACTGTTTTGCAGTTGCTGCCAGATCTCGGTACTTGAGACCCTGGCTTTAAGAGAACGAAACATGGAAGCGGGTGGTGGTGATCGTACAGGGCAAGGACGACACTGTCATTGCTGTGGACGGGAAGGTGGGGGCCCGCTTGAATAATGGCCGTTAGATAGGGACCAGTGGCGCAGGCTACTCTTCTGTAGGTAAGTTTGAGACGTTGCAGGTTTTTAGACGTCTCAAAACTGTGGATGGGAAGGTGGGGCCCACTTGAGTATTGGGTTGTTAGATGGCCACTGATTGCGCTGGCGGCTCATTTGTATAGAGCTTCTTGCTGCAACTGGTGCTAGGGGAAGGAGATTGCGGAGTGGATCCGAGTGCACCCGTGTTCCCAACTGGTGTAAGTGTCTTTTGTGTGTCTTCTGTGTATGCATGCGCAGGTGACAACCCACCCTGTGATTACAGTGAAGAAGGAAGATTTGGTTGACAGCAATGGTGCAGGCGACTCTTTCGCAGGGGGCTTCCTGTCACAGCTGGTGCAAGGGAAGGAGATTGAGTGGGGTGCACTTGTATCTCTGACCGCTTCGTCTGTATCTCTTGCTGTGTGTCTCCCCTGTGTGTTTGTGCAGGTGACTACCCACCCGGTCATTCTAGTGAAGAAAGAAGATCTTGTGGACACCAACGGAGCAGGCGATTCCTTTGTAGGCGGCTTCCTGTCGCAGCTGGTGCAGGGGAAGGAGACTGAGGAGTGCGTCCGGGCCGGTAATTACGCGGCCAATGTCATCATCCAACGGTCAGGGTGTACCTTCCCGGAGAAGCCTGAGTTCAAGTAACTTCTGGGAGGATGTGATTAAGAATCGCATGTGAGATTATACACGACCTCACTCACACCCATTCTTGGAAGTAAAATCAATTTACTGGTATTGGCGTTATGGGAAGTGTATGGTATGATCAAAACACATGCAGGCTTGGTAGGCACATTCGGGGGGGAGTCTACTACCGGTAATCCTCCAACCAACCAATGCTGATGGGCTGGGAGCAGAAGTTCTGACAGAATACTACCGGTACTGGCACTGCTAGGATGTGCCTCTGTCCCAACCTTAACTACTGTGGGCAATCTCCGAAGGAGGACGCACGGGGAAAGAGCTGTCCACCAGAGGAGAACTCTGTGCCTGCGCGCTATAGAGATACGCTTGAAGTGTTCGGATGGAGCAGCAAAATTTATGAATCTCACGGGAGACACAAGTGAGTGAGCGAGCTCCTAAGAACTTCTGGGCATTCCAAATGAGCCTTTTATTCAACCAATAACTCTTCCAGGCATGTACCGGATAGAGAGCGATCCAAAATCTCACTATGCATACAGAGATGCATCTGGTACACCCATTCCTTATCCCCCTTACAAGCTGTAACAAAAGGTCCATGACCATGAGATACAGGTCACCTAGCAGCTCTTCTAGGCGTGTAGGAGCATTCCAAGGGCTGCCATCCCTGGCATGGTGAGTGATCCATCAGGTACACTAATTTGGATCCCCATTATAAGCTGGTAGCATATGCCATACAATACAAGCAAGTCTTCTGTTCACCTAGCAGCTCTCTTAGGCATATACGAAGCATTCCAAGGGCCGCCGTCCCTGGCATAGTGATCCATGGGGTACACCCTCTCCTTATCCCCTTTACAAGCTCCACATCGCTTGCACTGTTGTTGCTCCTTCGAGTCATCATGCCGATCACCTTCGCTGGAACCATACTCAATAGAATCACCTTGGATAGAGTCACAGAAGCACCCGCCCCACCAGGGAGGGGCGAACCCCAGAGCAACCTCGAGCTCGTAGGGGGTGAGCATGGGGGCTGCAAACGCCTCACCCCAGTCTATGGAGAGACGCGGACACGCCACCTGCACCCACGCGTCTATGCCCCTCGCACCTGCACCCGCAAGTGAAAGCCCGCCCAACTCCCTCACCACGCAATCTGTATCAGTGGTCCTGACTTCATCGCCACCTGTGGCCTTCGCCAGGTCAGCGGTTGCTCCTGCCACATCACCACTTGCTGATTCGTCTTCACTCGGCCTAGCCATCCCGCCAGACCCCACCCCCACCGCCGCCACCTTTTCCGGAGTTAGCTCCGAGACAAGAAACACCACCGGTGTGCCGCCCGCAGCGCGGATCCTCCTCACGCAGTGGTCTACAGTGCGTGGGTTACCCTGGTGCCCGAGGGTACCCTGCACAACGCCCCACCGCTTCCCCCGCACCCGGCTTGCCCGGGTAACCGCCAGCTGCCGCGCTGCCCGCATGCCGGAATGGTCGTAGCGCTCGCGAGTGAGGGAGCGGGCATAGGGGTCGTAGCGGTAGGCTGGGAGGGAGGGGTTTGCGATCATCATTGCTTCGAGGTGGAAGCGGCCGTCCGAGACGAACACGAGCGCATCTGGACGGTTCCCTCCTGCTGCTGCTGCTGCTGCTGCTCCCGCTGCTGCCGCTGTTGCTGGAGCCGCTGCTGCTCCTCCCACTGCTACTGCTGCTGCTGCCCCTGCTGCTTGCACAGCACCATTGCCTTCTCCTGCTGTTGAAACCACTACTGCTTCTCCTGCTCCTGCTCCTGCTGGTGCTGCCCCTGCTGCTGCCCCTTGTGCTGCACCTCTTGCCTTGTGGTCCGCTCCCAGAAGCTCACTCCCCTTGTGGATCACCGCATATTCCCCCAGGGGCAGCAGGCTGGGAGCCGTGCATCCGAGCACCTCTCCCCCGGACAGCGGCTTGGCCTGTGGGACAGTGATGGCTCTGAAATGGTCTGACAGGGCCGCCCTGGCTGCATGCACCGCTGCAGTGAACTGGATGGTGCCTGGGGGGGGAGGGGAGAGGCCAAGAAAGGGAGGATCACAGAAAGCTGTTTGAGCACCTCTCCCCCGGACAGGGGCTTCGCTGGAGGGATGGTGACCGATCTGAAGTGGCCTGGTAGGGCCGCCCTGGCTGCATGCACCGCTGCTGTGAACTGGATGGTGCCTGGGCGGAAGGGGGGAAGGGGGGTGGGGGAGAGGGGTTAGGAAGGGGGGCGGGGGAGATGGGTTAGGAAGGGGGGTGGGGGAGAGGGGTTAGGAAGGGGGGTGGGGGAGAGGGGTTAGGAAGGGGGGTGGGGGAGAGGGGTTAGGAAGGGGGGTGGGGGAGAGGGGTTAGGAAGGGGGGTAGGGGAGAGGGGTTAGGAAGGGGGGTGGGGGAGAGGGGTTAGGAAGGGGGGTGGGGGAGAGGGGTTAGGAAGGGGGGTGGGGAAGAGAGGGGTTAGGAAGGGGGGTGGGGGAAGAGAGGGGTTAGGAAGGGGGGTGGGGGAGAGGGGTTAGGAAGGGGGTGGGGGAGAGGGGTTAGGAAGGGGGGTGGGGAGAGGGGTTAGGAAGGGGGGTGGGGGAGAGGGGTTAGGAAGGGGGGTGGGGGAGAGGGTGTGGAAAGGGATGAGTTCGGGCAGTTGGGTTTGGGGAGCTCTGAAGTGGGCGGAGAGGGCCGCCCTAGCTGCATGCACTGCAGCTGTGAAATGGATGGTGCCTGGGGGAAAGGGGCGTGTGTGTGTGGGAGGGGTGGCTTTTGAGTCGACTCAAAAGTCACCTATGGATAGTGCCTGGGGGAAAGGGGTGTGTGTGAGTGGGAGGGGCGGGGTGGGGGAGAGGTCGGAGGGGGGATTACAGGAAAGGATGGATGCGGGATGGTGGTGGCTGTAAAGTGCTCTGATAGGGCCGCCCTGGCTGCGTGCACTGCTGCAGCGAACTGGATAGTGCCTGGGGGGAAGGGGGGGCGGGGAGGGGGAGAGGGTGTGTGTAGGAAGGAATGCACTTGGATTTTTGGGAGGCTCAGGTCTGATAAGGCCGCCCTGGCTGCGTGCACTGCTCCAGCGAACTGGATAGTGCCTGGCGGGTGTAGGGGGGGGGGGGGAATGTAGCAAGGACATCTCTAGAAGGAGCTGTGGCTGGGAGGGAGGTTTCGGGTTTAAGCTTGCCGTGTTTGAAGTCGACTCTAGATACACCTGGGGAAGGTAGTAAGGCCATCCCTAGAAGGAGCCGTGGCTTCTCCTGCTACGAATTATGACCTTAGCAAATCCTACGTTAATAAAGTACTCCCCAGCGAGTGCGAGGTGGTCTATCTGCAGAAGATTACACTTCAAGGTAACTAAACAGGGTGAACCGTCGATCGTGATATCCACGAACACGGAACAGCGGTGCAACGCATTTTCTTCGCTTAACGGATCTCACTTGATACAATTACTCACCAGCGAGTACAAGGTGGTCCGTTTTCGGAAAATTGAGCTTCAGGGTGTCGATAAAGTGTGGCACGTCGATCGTGATATCCACGAACACGTAAAGACATGGAATCGCGGTGTGATCTAACGGTACGAGGCAGCTATGCCCGTAATGCACCAGAAAATCCGCGCCAAGAGCAGCCGCGGTAACGTCGTCAATGCAGCACGCGCCGTACGTCACGTCGCCTAAAATCACGCAGCTCTCCGCGCCGCCGAACCGCTCGATAATGTCACATAGCGTCGTCGCGAACATCTGGAGCCCCTCTGGGAGTTGTAGAGCCACGCAGCGCGCTTTCGCTTGTCGCACGCGCCAGACGGTCTTGGGAACCTCGAGGTTGTAATTGGGCGGCAGAACTGACGTGGCAGCGAGCAGCGCGGGATCTTCCGAGATCTCCCTCGGGATCTGCGAGCGCACGTAGCGCTTAGGCGCGGGTTTCTTCGCTGGCGCGGAACCACTCCTGCTACTAGCACCAGCAGTACCGCTGCCTGCGGTGGTGGTAGTTATTGCCTGAGAGCCGTCCATTGTGGGATAGCCTATTAACTATCACTAATAGTTGCTAGGTATGACTACTAACTAGCACTAACCAATGCGAGCGTTATTCTAGGAGTGGAAGGGAACTACAGCTACGTAGGAATTTGGCACCAGAGCAATATTCCTGTAACAGAGGAAACCGTCGCGATGTAAAATGCGAGAGTCTATGGAGAAGTAACTAAGTAACCAGTTTGTGACATGTGTACATGCCATTTAGGAATCACGAGTCCGATTGTGTTGCATGTGAAATACGAGCCGCGTATCATCTTCGATTTCCTTTTGAAGTTCAAGAATCAGCACTCTCCAGAGGGCGTGTTCTCTGGTTTGCAAGAGTCGAACCTCCAACCAGTTGTGGTTAGATAGAAAGTTTGTTTAATTTCGGTTACGAGTGGTTAGATGTGGTTAGGTAGATTCGACTCTAGTTTACCAGCCCTGTATCTGTCGGAGTAAATCAGGATGACACGGCTTGTCCACGACACCTCGACCGCCTTGAAGAAGGGTATTTATCTTCCGGGTAACCATCATCGGGGGTGCTACCGTCAGCAGTCACACACATGGCGCGATCCTAACCATCAGATCGACTTCGCCCCAGCGTGGTAGTGTACCAATTATCCCTACATGGTCACAAAATATATGGGACACCCCCGATGATGGTAACCCTGGAGATAAATGCTCCTTGAAGAACCGATCACAAGAAACTCTTCTCCAGTGCCCGCGCACGTGTTCCAGGTGCCGTATCGTCGTTTATCCAAGTTTTGAACTTCGTCACGTACTGTACAATAGCAACAAGCCTTGGAATTCCGGTCGTTTCAGTTTCTGATGGAGGGAGGGAGGAGGGGGGGGGGGGGGGGTGAAATCCGCTCAGAGCTGCTTGCAGGTTAGGTTAGTAGGCGGTTATGTACGTTAATGTGGGTTAAAGTGCGTTTTAGTGTGGTGACAGATGGAACCTCCCCACCCGCCATATGTTGCCGTGTCCAAGAACTGGGCTGTCACAGTCTGCAGCTTTCCCCCATTTCTCCCCCAGCGGCAGCCATGGATTCTGCTGCTGATCTGCATACTGCAACCATGGCCGTCCACCTCAGCGTTGGCAGCTTCGTTTGATCTCCTTCTGGTGACAACCATTGATTTTGCCGCATAACCGAATTGCTTCTGTTCGTTATAATTCCTCCTCCCCAGCAACAGCCATGGATTCTGGTGATTGGCTGTTCCGGCCACAGTACCACACTGTCCTCACTACGAATCAGTACCAGCGGCGTAGGGTTTCTAAGTCCATGAACCTAACCGGGAGCAATAATCCTACTGCTGCTGCCAGATGCGTCTCTTCGGTTTTGCTTTCTGACCAATCTTGCACCGGACCCTACACTAGCTGTGAGGTCGGAGGCATATTCTGCTTCCGCATGTGGTGGCAGAAATTTCGCTTGTCTTGAATTACTTCCAGTGACATTCGCTCCTCCTAATCAGCCATCTCCAAGCGGCCAGGAAGGGGGGATTCTCTTTCTTTCCCGGTGATTTTTAACGTCCGTACACCTGGCTCTTGCTGGTTACTATGTCAGGGCTCTTCGACGTTCTTAGTCTAGATACCACCTCCACCTGCCAGGCCAATTTCCAAGCGTCCACTGGAATAGTCGACGTAACCAACAGCTTCCTTCCTCCTCTGCCTTCGATCGCCGGTGACACGTGGACGACGGAGATTTCATCCAACCAGATCGAGCCTCGAGCAATGGAAGCCGCTTTTGCTGACTCGAGAAAGACCGTTGTACCGACCGTCGTTCTCGGGCCGATCGGCGAGGCGGCAGGCATCAGCGAGAGGTGCTATTCGACGACGTTAAACAGCAGCATCGCCGGCAGTCACCTGATATGTCACCACGTGAACAACGCCCCGTGGAACAGGTCAGTGAAATCCGACCGTCGAATTCGCGAGTCGAATCCGCCGAATCTGCTTTGCACACAGCTGACAAGATCCGAGATCAACGGGTATTGTTAACCCGTTATTTGGCGCAAGATCCGACCATCAGCTTTCGTACCTCCCCCCCTCTCCCTTTTGAAGTTCTTGGCGATTACCCGAATGACTAAATTGACTCTCTTCTATTCCTTGCTGCTCTGCTACAGTTCGCCGTGACTTTTGAGTCGAATCATAAGTTTCCCCGAGTTACGAAATTGACTCTCTTTTATTCCTTGCTGCTCGGCTACAGTTCGCCTGGCGGCGGCTCTTCGTGCGACTCCCTCTGCCTCGGCGAAATGGTGTGCGATTATATCGAGAACGAATGCGACGCATGCGACCCTTGCGATGCCTGTGATGCCAACGACGATGCGAGCGACGACGCCTCCGACACCACTAGCGATGATGGCCGTGGGTGTTGCGGGACCTGGCAGACGTGGAAGGCGGCAGCAGGAGGAGCAGCAGCAGCAGGAGCGGCAGCAGGAGCAGCAGCAGCAGGAGCGGCAGCAGGAGCAGCAGCAGCAGCAGCGAGTGCGAACGGACGTAACCATCCCCATGGCCGGGGTACAGAGTCTCGGGCGTTCGGAGCATCAAGCAGCGTTGAACGGCTCGCTTCATTGGTCGAGGTCAGTACGGTAGTGAGACAGGTAGTAAGCTTAAGGTTGTGAGCTGAGATATCCCATCCTTCCTTGGGCCATTCTGTAAGACTCGTCCAGCCATGTCTTCGTGATTTCGTTTTGAGACGTCTCAAAACGAAATGACTAACACACAGATACCCCATCCGTCCTTCCTTGACTGGTCGCACTTCTCTCCGTTGGTCTACCTGTTTTCCTTTCCTTTCGTTTGTGCGTCGGTCCTTTGGTCTTGTTTCTTGTTAATGCTCGTTCGTCTTTCCTGTTCGAGCATCCTCCCTCCCCCCCACCCTGGCCCCACCCCTCCCGTCTCCCGCCCCCCTCTTTCTCCCACCCAGCAGTCCCTCAGCTGCTGTGAGTCGCCAGATGAGAACGCAGTGCTTGAGATCGTCCCTCAGCTGCTCTCAATTGCGTGAGATCGGCACTGCTGCCATCAAGCATGAAACACCGTGCGTCTGTGCGTCTGTCTTCTCTGCCTTTCTTTGCTTCTGTTTATTCGTGCATCACCCTCCCCCCCACCCAACAGTCCCTCAGCTGCTGTGAGACTCCAGAGGAGCAAGCAGTGCGTGAGATCGCCATTGCTACCATGAAGCATGCAAAGACCGTGCGTCTGTGCGTCTGCCTCTTCTGCCTTCCTCTTCTTGTGTTTATTCGTGCATGTCCCCCCCTCCCCCCCAACAGTCCCTCAGCTGCTGTGAGTCTCCAGAGGAGCACGCAGTGCTTGAGATCGTTACTGCCGCCATGAAGCACGCAAAGACCGCACCTGTTGACGTCAGCAGAAGCAGCACGACGAGCACCAGCACTGCCAGCACCAGCACCAGCACTTCCAGCACCGCCAGCAGCAGTGTGCGCAATATAGTGGTACCTCAGCTGCAGGCGAAGGGGTACGATGCTGCCGTGTGCCACGCCCATTGGAAGTGCTCCAGATGTTACCCCCACGGTGAGAACCGCCGCCTTGCTTATGTAAGCACCTCTATTGGTGAGGCGAATCAAAAGCTGTGTGCCATGCTCATTAGAACTGCTCCGAAGACCACCCCCACAGTGTGTAATGAATCTGTTTTTTACTCGACTAAAAAAAGCTGTGTGCCATGCTCATTGGAACCGCTCCGAAGGCCACCCCCACAGTGGGAACTGCCGCCTCTGTTTCTCACCTTAGCACCTCTGTCAGTGAGGCACCTTCAAAAGCCGCGAACCACCTCCAAAGTTGTGTGCCATGCTCACTGGAACCGCCCTGAATCTAAGGCAACCCCCACAGTGGGAACTGCCGCCTCTGTTTCTTACCTTAGCACCTCTGTCTGTGAGACACCTTCAAAAGCCGCGAACCACCTCAAAAGCAGTGTGCCATGCTCGTTGGAAGTGCTAAGTAAACTGCTGCATTCCTTATTTTAGCACCTCAGCAGCTTTTATGTGCAGTTCGTTTGCCGATATTTGACTCCCGTCTTGTTAGATGTTCTTGTCTTGACTTTCCGCCACATCCCTTTTCTTTCCGCTCTTCCCTAAACTACGTGCTCTGTTCTGCATTCGCCCGTCCCTCTCACATCATTCCTTCCCCCCTCTCTCCCACCTCCCCTCTCCCCCCCCTCCCCTCTCCCCCTCCCTCCTGCCCTTTTTTCTTCCCCTGTTTCAGGCTGCCATGAGTACTGTGACGTCATCCTCCCCCCGTCCGCCCCCAACCGCCTGCCGGTCCGTCTCATAGTTGACCTTGATTTCCGGGCACAGTTCCAGGTCGCCCATCCCACTCCACAGTACAGTCACATCCTCCAGCTGACGCCACTTTTTTTCGTGGGCTGCCCGGACCGGCTACACCAGCTGGTGAAGGTTTTATGTGAGGCGATGTGGGTGTCGATGCATGCACAGGGTATGCACGTGCCGCCATGGCGCCGGCACCAATACATCGCTGCCAAGTGGAGTGCTGGGTACTCTCACAGGGTTTGCATCCCTGCAGAGGGCTCAAGAAATTCCGGAACTCCTGCTGCTGCTGCTGCTGCTGCTGCTGCTGCTGCTGCTGGCTCTGCTGCTGGTGCAGATGCTGGTGCTGCTGCTGCTGGCTCTGCTGCTGGTGCAGATGCTGGTGCTGCTGCTGCTGGCTCTGCTGCTGGTGCAGATGCTGGTGCTGCTGCTGCTGGCTCTGCTGCTGGTGCAGATGCTAGTGCTGCTGCTGCTTCCAGCAACGTGAAAGCTTCATCAACCAGCGTACCAGTCAATCCCCCACCAGAAGCATATGGAGGGCCGTTTGGGGCTCCTCGCCGTGCCAGTGTTCCCCACCAGAGCGAGCGTGGGAGTGCCCTGCCGAGAGCACCGGTGGTGGGTCTGCTGGCAAAAGGGATGCAGCGGCTGGCGTTACAGAAACAGGCACACAAGGTGGACAGCCCAGCTTGTGTTACAGATGCGGTAACCATGCGGCAGCTGGCGTTACAGAAACAGTTGCACAAGGTGGGCCTGGCAACTCGTGCACTAGCAGCAGCGTCTGCTGCGTGTGAGCGTATTGGTTGTGCGAGGGGGGGTGATTTGCATGTGGATGGATGCACTGGCAGGAGGCTCTCTTGAGCTCTTGATATGGTATGTCTTCTTTTTGTGCTTGAGTCGACTCGAAACCGTGCAGCTGCAGCAGCGTCTGCTGCGTGTGAGCGTACTGGATGTGTGGGATGATTTTTTTGCTGATGGATGCACTGGCAGGAGGCTGTCTTGACTTGAGCTCTTGATTATGCCCTTTTTGTGCTTTGAGTCGACTCAAGAGCGTGCAGCTGCAGCAGCATCTGCTGCATGTGAGTGTGTTGGATGTGAGAGGGATGATTTGTATGCTGATGGATGCACTGGCAGGAGGCTATCTTGAGCTCTTGATTGGGCTTCTTATTGCGTGCCGTCTGGTCTTGGAGCCTGGTCTGGAAGGCTCTAGGCACATGCGTGCCGTGCATGTTGGGTTTTTTGAAAGAATCGGCGGTAGGTTCTTCTGCATGTTCTAGTGTTTTTTGCACAGCGATTAAATGAAATATGTATTGCACCAGGCTTTATGCACTAGCCCAGCTAGCCTGTTTGGAAAAGAACTTATGATGACCACCATGGCCCCAGCAATACGGCCAAGTTGTGCTACATTTCTTCACTAGTATTGTTTCTTTCTTTTTAGTGAGGTTTAAAACTGCTTTCGCGCCTCACCTATTTTGACCACGAAGCACCGAATCAAACTGCTCCAGACGTTCTAAAGTACGCGCTATTGGAAGACTTCACTATCATGCACAACAATAGCAGCAACCATCACACTCCTCAGTGCTGACAAGAAACAGCGCCGGAGCCGAAATTGCCGCGTGCCAGCTCGTTATCCCATAAGACTCCGCTGAGTTCACTGGGATCCTAGCCGCCATTTCAGCGGTGCGCTCGTCGACCGTTCATAAGCACCTTAGGCCGCCTGCGCGCACGGACGTCCATTGATTGCGCTAACGAACGTTCACGATTGAACGTGCTTAGCAATTCCGTCCCCGTTCACAAGCTTCCAGCACTCAGGGGCTGTTGATAAGTTGGTTTAGCATCCAGAGGGTGTTTTTAGGGTTATTTAGCATTCAGGGTGTGAAGCAGTAATGTCTCAGTCCATGTAGGCGTGATTTTATTCTTTAGCGGTTTGTTTCGCATACTACCAGCCGAGGCTTGGATCAGTGCGTGTAGTGACCTTATTTCTAGCAATTTATAGCGATTCATTCCGCGTTCTGCTAGCAGAGGGGTTTCGTATATCGGGGAGTTTAAGGACCCAGGCAAGTCGCTTAGGGCAAGTCGCAGAAGGCAAGTCGCAGAGGGCAAGTCGCAGAGGGCAAGTCGCCAGCATGCCAAAACGCACCACGCGCACGTACTCGAGCGAGGACGCGGAGCCGCAGGGAGATACCAAGGAGCTTATAGTGTACTACTGCAAGCAGTGCGGAGCGCATGTGCTTATAACAGGCAAGTGACTATAACGGGTACGTCCTTAGGTAAGTGACTACATTAGGCAAGCGCACTACCTGCACGTACTCTAGCGAGGACGCGGATCCGCAGGGGGGTACCAAGGAGCTTATAGTGCACTACTGCAAGCAGTGCGGTGCACGTGTGATTATAACAGGCAAGTGCTTGTAACGGGTACGTCCTTTTTACGGGTAAAGCTGTTTTATCCAAGGAGCCACAGGGAGATAATAATGAGGTGATCGTGTACTACTGCAAGCAGCGTGGCGCACATGTGATTATAACAGTCAAGATGATCTTATAACAGGCGGCATGCTCTTATAACAAGCATCTTTCTTCGACTTGTACTCTCAAATCTCTCTCTCTCTCTCTCTCTGGTTGGTGGTGGTGGAATCCGGGGTATTGCTGGGGTGTGGGCGTGGGTTGTGCATGGCGGACGTGGCTGGGGTGTGGGTAGTGTGCATAGTGCATGGTGTCTGTGTGTGCAATGCTGGCCAGGGCGTGGGCATGGCATGGCATGGCATGCTGTGCGCTGGCGACTGTGCAATGCTGGCTGCGGTGTGGGTGTGGCATGGCAGGCAGACAGCCAGCTATCGGCGCTGCCTCGCCGATAGCATGGCATGCTGGCTGTTGGCTGGTGCCTGTGCAATGCTGGTCTGGGTGGGGGCATGGCTTGGCATGGTGACTGTTGGCTGCGGTGTGGGCATGGCTTGGCATGGTGACTGCTGGCTGGGGTGTGGGCATGGCATGGCAGGCAGACAGTCAGCTATCAGCGCTGCCTCGCCGCAAGACGGATGGGGCGATGGTGATGGAGAGAGAGAAGCATCTCATGAGACTTAATGTCATGGAGACGGGCAAACAGCTGCTCAAGAGGTCAGTGCCTGATGTCAGATGACTTCATTTTCACACACCCGCCATTGCCACACGCCCGCCATTGCCACACGCCCGCCATTGCCACACACCCGCCATTGCCACACGCCCGCCATTGCCACACGCCCGCCATTGCCACACGCCCACCATTCTCACACACCCGCCATTGTCACACGCCCACCATTGTCACATTAGGCCCTCACAAATCAACCGACTCATCCCCCTTCTCCTTCCTCCCTTTCTCCTTCTCTCTCTCACAGGGGTGAAGGGAAGGTGGAGCGACAATACAGAATGGGGTGCGGGGAGTGCGGAGTGATGGTGGCTTATAGAAGCGAGGAGAGCATGGAGGGTGCCAAGTTCGTCTACATTCCCTCTGATGCTCTCACTGCTGCTGCTGCCGACACCAAGCCCCAGGTACTTATCTGTAGGCAGAGGTACTTAGTTGTAGGCAGGCATTCTTGTCTTGAGGCGCCTCAGCACGTACAGCAGCGAGGAGAGCATGGAGTGTGCCAAGTTCGTCTATATTCCTTCGGATGCTCTCACTGCTGCCGCTTCTGACACCAAGCCTCAGGTACGCGTTATTAGGAGCGCTAGTACATTGCAGGGACGCGTGAATTCAGGCCTCCATGCATTCAATATAAGAGCGGGAAAGACAGTTTTCTCATGCAGGTGGCGTGGCGGTTATTTTTAATCGACTAAAAGAATCACCTATGGTGGAGGACATGGCTCAACGTGTTTGCTGTGCTTTAACCCCCTACTTTGTTATGTGTGCCTTGCAGGGCGCCCCTGTGCCGCCGTGCATTCAGGAGGTGGACAGCGGGCTCGTGCAGGCTGCAGTAGAGGTGGAGAACAGTGCTCAAATCAAGCACCTCCCCCAACCTTTTCTCTGCTCCCCGTGATTTATTCTCCCTGCAGGACGCCCCCGTTCCGCCGTGCATTCAAGAGCTGGACAGCGGATTGGTCCAGGTGGCCATAGAGGTGGAGGACAGGGCCCAACGCTCCGCTGTGCTGCGTACGTTACGATACACTGTCACAATGTTGCGCACCGTATGTTACGATACACTGTCACAATGTTGTGAACCGCACATGACAGTACACTGTTACAATGTTGTGCACCGCACGTGTGAGTATGGTGTCACAACAATGTCCACCGTACGTTACGATACACTGTCACTATGTTGTGCACCGCACGTTGCAATAAACTGTCACAATGTTGTGCTGCTGTGCTGTGTGTATGCTCCGTAATTGCACTCTGAATATAATTGCACTCATGATATATCCGTCACTTAGGCTGGATGACAGGACAGACCTCAATGCTCCGCAATGCTGCGTACATTCTTGTTACGACCATGGTACGATCATGTTTGTTGCCATAATTTACAATCATGATATGGGCGTGTTGCTTCCATGTTACAATCATATAATGAGTCTCCTACCTAGAGAGCATCTTTTCTCTTTGTGTGAAACAACTTGCATCTTCATGCTTCTCTATGCTCCCTTCCCTGTATCCTTCATTATCCCACCCTTCTTCCTCCCACCGGGTATCATTGGTTAATTAGCTTAGTTTTGAGACGTCTAAAAAATCCCCTGCATCCTTATTTATCCCACCCTTCCTCCTCCCACCAACTATGCCGATGATGTGTGCCCCTGCTCTCATGCACATGCCACTTCAGCGATGGAAGAGGATAGCGGAGATTATAAGGCCGATTAAGATTCCGAGAACGACCCGAATGATGATTTTGACAGCACCCTCAACGACATGTGAATGTGCTCTAGTAGACCAAGCAGGTACTGGTCATGAGTGTAGTAGAGCGTAAATTGTTGTAGCGACTTCTGGCCATGTGAGCTCGTTGGTCATCTGACAAAGTCTCTACAACAAACTACGCTCTGCTGCACGCATGGTCAATTCCTGCTTGGTCTTCTCTAATGACTGGTCATATGTTGTTGAGGGTTCTGCTGAGGGCATCATTCAGGTCGTGCTCAAACTCCGCGTCGGCCTAAGAATTCCCGTAGTCGTCTTCCATTGCAATAGTGCCCTGTGCAGGACTAAGCCGGTGAGGCGGCTCTCACCCTTCGGCCTCCTGCCAGGTATTAATATCGACTATGTCCCCTCTCCTCCTCCCGCCAGGTATAAAGCCAACGAGGTGAGTATCGCAGTGACAGAATCATCACATAGAGGCAACGGCGCTCATGATGTGTGCAACGGCGCTCATGATGTGTGCGTCTTTCTCCTCCCCCCCTCCCGCTCCTCCTCCCACCAGGCATCAATGCGGACGATGTGCGGATCGCAGTGACAGGATCATCGCATAGGGGCAACGAGGCCAGCGCAGAGCTGGTGGAATTCCTGGCAAAGGTATTCGAGTGCTGCTCCTCATACATGCATATGCGTCAATCCATATCACTCCATTTCACTCTGTCATGATCATTGCATAGGGGCAACGAGGCCAGCGCAGAGCTGGTGGAATTCCTGGCAAAGGTATTCGAGTGCTGTTCCTCATACATGCATATGCGTCAATCCATATCACTCCATTTCACTCTGTCATGATCATCGCATGGGGGCAACGAGGCCAGTGCAGAGCTGGTGGAATTCCTGGCCAAGGTAATTTAGTGCTGCTCCTGAGAATTAAAAAAAACAGAACACATCCGGCAAAGGTATATTCGACCGCGACAGTGCCTTCATCAGCAGTCTAGCGCTGCTCCTCATACATGAAGATGCGTCGATCCGTATCACTCCGTATCACTCCATTTCACTCCATCATGATTGTCACATAAGGCCTTTGAAGGAGGCCGGTGAAGAGCTCATGGAATTCCTGGTGAAGGTATCCGGGTGCTGCTCCTCACACACACATGCAGATGCGTCAATCCATTTCACTCCATTTCGCTCCATTTCACACCATTTCACACCATTTCACTCCAGCATGATCGTCACATAGGGCCTTCGAAGGAGGGCAGTGCAGAGCTGATGGAATTTCTGGCAAATGTATTCCAGGATTCCAGGATTAGGATTCCAGGATTCCAGGATTCCAGGATTCCAGGATTCCAGGATTCCAGGATTCCAGGATTCCAGGATTCCAGGATTCCAGGATTCCAGGATTCCAGGATTCCAGGATTCCAGGATTCCAGGATTCCAGGATTCCAGGATTCCAGGATTCCAGGATTCCAGGATTCCAGGATTCCAGGATTCCAGGATTCCAGGATTCCAGGATTCCAGGATTCCATGCATGGAGAGCTGCTTGTGTTTCTTGAGTCGACTCAAGAATCACTTTTGAGTCGACTCAAGAATCACTTTTGAGTCGACTCAAGAATCACTTTTGAGTCGACTCAAGAATCACTTTTGAGTCGACTCAAGAATCACTTTTGAGTGGACTCAAGAATCACTTTTGAGTCGACTCAAGAATCACTTTTGAGTGGACTCAAGAATCACTTTTGAGTCGACTCAAGAATCACTTTTGAGTCGACTCAAGAATCACTTTTGAGTCGACTCAAGAATCACTTTTGAGTCGACTCAAGAATCACTGGCGAAGGTATTCCAGGATTCCATGCATGGAGAGCTGCTTGTGTTTCTCCAGCATGGAGACGCTGGAGACACACGACATTGTAACGAGGTAATGAGTCGATTTTTTAGTCGACTCAAAAGGCACGCTAGTCCCATGCCATTGAGTCGACTCAAAATACGCCCCTCAGCTCATAGCCCAACTCTTCCTCACACCTATTTTCCCCTCCAAAAAAACATATCTCTCTCTCTCTCCCCTCCCCCCCCCCCCTTCCTCCCTCCCTCCTCTCCCCATCTCTCCCTGCTTTCCTGAGTAGACATTGGGCCTTCGCTTGGTGCAACTGAGGCTGCAGTGTGGATGGTCCGATAAGCCATACAAGCCATACAAGCCATACAAGCCATACAAGCCATACAAGCCATACAAGCCATACAAGCCATACAAGCCATGCAAGCCATGCATGATCCCTCCCCTTCTCTCCCTCCCCCCTTCTCTCCCTCCCCCCTGTCTCTTCCTCCCCCCGTCTCTCCCTCCCCCCGTCTCTCCCTCCCCCCCCGTCTCTCCCTCCCCCCGTTCTCTCCCTCCCCCCCTTCTCTCCTCCCCCTGTCTCTTCCTCCCCCCCGTCTCTCCCTCCCCCCCGTCTCTCCTCCCCCCCCCCGTCTCTCCCTCCCCCCCCGTCTCTCCCTCCCCCCCGTCTCTCCCTCCCCCCCCGTCTCTCCCTCCCCCCCCGTCTCTCCCTCCCCCCCGTCCTCTCCCTCCCCCCGTCTCTCCCTCCCCCCGTCTCTCCCCCCCCCCCCCCCCCCGTCTCTCCCTCCCCCCCGTCTCTCCCTCCCCCCCCCCCCCCCCCGTCTCTCCCTCCCCCCCCTCTCTCCCTCCCCCCCCGTCTCTCCCTCCCCCCCGTCTCTCCCTCCCCCCCGTCTCTCCCTCCCCCCTCTCTCCCTCCCCCCTTCCTCTCTCCTCCCCCCCCGTCTCTCCCTCCCCCCCGTCTCTCCCTCCCCCCCCCCGTCTCTCCCTCCCCCCCCGTCTCTCCCTCCCCCCCGTCTCTCCCTCCCCCCCCCGTCTCTCCCTCCCCCCCGCCCCCCCCCCCCCGTCTCTCCCTCCCCCCCCGTCTCTCCCCTCCCCCCCGTCTCTCCTCCCCCCCCCCCCGTCTCTCCCTCCCCCCCGTCTCTCCCTCCCCCCCCGTCTCTCTCCGTCCCCCCCCCCCGTCTCTCCCTCCCCCCCCGTCTCTCCCTCCCCCCCCGTCTCTCCCTCCCCCCCCCGTCTCTCCCTCCCCCCCCCCCCCCCCCGTCTCTCCCTCCCCCCCCCTCCCCCCCCCCCGTCCTCCCTCCCCCCGTCTCTCCCCCCCCCGCTCCCCCCCCCCCCCCCCCCCCCCCCCCCCCCCCCCTCCCCCCCCCCCCCCCCCCCCCCGTCTCTCCCTCCCCCCCCGTCTCCCCTCCCCCCCTTCTCTCCCTCCCCCCTCTCTCCCCCCCCCGTCTCTCCCTCCCCCGTCTCTCCCTCCCCCCCCGTCTCTCCCTCCCCCCCCCCGTCTCTCCCTCCCCCCCCGTCTCTCCCTCCCCCCCGTCTCTCCCCCCCCCTCCTCCCTCCCCCCCCGTCTCTCCCTCCCCCCCCCCCCCCCCCCCCCCCCTCCCCCCCCCCTGTCTCTCCTCCCCCCCGTCCCCCCCCCCCCCCCCCCCCTCTCTCCCTCCCCCCCCCCTCTCTCCCTCCCCCCCGTCTCTCCCTCCCCCCCCGTCTCTCCCTCCCCCCCCCCCCCCCCCGTCTCTCCCTCCCCCCCGTCTCTCCCTCCCCCCCCGTCTCTCCCTCCCCCCCCCCCCCCCCCCCCCCCCCCCCCCCCCCCCCCCCGTCTCTCCCTCCCCCCCCGTCTCTCCCTCCCCCCCCCCCGTCTCTCCTCCCCCCCCGTCTCTCCCTCCCCCCCCGTCTCTCCCTCCCCCCCCGTCCTCCCTCCCCCCCCGTCTCTCCTCCCCCCCGTCTCTCCCTCCCCCCCCGTCTCTCCCTCCCCCCCCGTCTCTCCCTCCCCCCCCGTCTCTCCCTCCCCCCCGTCTCTCCCTCCCCCCCCGTCTCTCCCTCCCCCCCTCCTCCCTCCCCCCCCTCCCCCTCCCCCCCCCCTCCCCCCCCGTCTCTCCTCCCCCCCTCTCCTCCCTCCCCCCCTCTCTCCTCCCCCTGTCTCTTCCTCCCCCCCCGTCTCTCCCCCCCCCCGTCTCTCCCTCCCCCCCGTCTCTCCCTCCCCCCCTCTCTCCTCCCCCCCCTCTCTCCCTCCCCCCCCGTCTCTCCCTCCCCCCCCCGTCTCTCCCTCCCCCCCTTCTCTCCCTCCCCCCCCGTCTCTCCCCCCCCCCCCCCTCTCTCCCTCCCCCCCGTCTCTCCCTCCCCCCCCGTCTCTCCCTCCCCTCCCCTCCCCCCCCTCCCCCCCCCCCCCGTCTCTCCCTCCCCCCCCGTCTCTCCCTCCCTCCCCCGTCTCTCCCTCCCCCCCCGTCTCTCCCTCCCCCCCCGTCTCTCCTCCCCCCCCGTCTCTCCCTCCCCCCCCCGTCTCTCCCTACCCCCCCCTCCCTCCCCTCCCTCCTCCCCCCGTCTCTCCCCACTTCCCCGAGTAGACATTGGGCCTTCGCTTGGTGCAACTGAGGCTGCAGAGGGGATGGTCCCATAAGTCCAAGATGCTAATGGTATGAAAGCGGTGTAGCTGTTTGTGTATGCATGGAGATGTGGTGGACTGGACCTGAGCTGGTTCAATTGAGTGAGATTGTGGCGGGGATGATCCTCCAAGTCCAAGATGCTCATGGTATGCTCGTGGTGTAGCTTGTTACGTATGCATGGACATGTGCTGGACCTGAGTTGGTGCAACTGAGTGAGATTGTAGTGGGGATGGTCCTCCAAGTCCAAGATGCTCATAATACGCATGCATTGGTGTGGGTGCCACGTGTGACATGCACGCACTGTACACATGAGAATCACATGCACATGCGGTATCTCTAATTCCTGTCCCATACCATGACTCACTGCATCCTCTTCCTCCCTCCTGACTCTCCCCTCCCCTCTCTCCTCTCACTCTCCCCTCACTCTCCCCTCGCCTCTCCTCCACTCCAGTGCACGTTGGCGGGTAACACACCTGACAGTAGCAAGAGTGTGTGAAAGCTATTACCTCTTCTCCCCCCTCACTGTCAGTCCCCCCCATTCCTCCCATTCTTTTCCCCTGTTCCTGTGGGCAGGTAGAGGACCTGACAGCTCGGCAGGTGTATGAGAAGCTACTAGCAGCTGCACAACAATGAACAATTCGCGCTATAGTGTGGAATCCATGCGTGCAGCTGCGTTCTAGTGAAAACTGGTAACCACAATACTGGTTTCCATTCCCCTTCACTGTTGAAATCAGGTGGTTGTGGTACTCGAGCACTATTTGTATTGTTGGGCTGAGAAAAGCCCTTAGGATCTTTCAGAGACTAAGTCCCAGTTGTAAAGGCTTGAGTAGTGCAGCGGAAGTTTTGAGGCAGTTGAACCCTTGTACTAGTATATGAGAACAAGTGATTGATTAAAGAAACAAGCATACAGCAATATATAGAAAATAAGAAAGCAGTTGTAGAATACAGTTGCAGGAGCGGTTATCGAGTCGCACAGCGACTCGATTGTCGCTTCGGTTACCATCCGCGCTGTTGTAACGGTCAGTCGCAACCTCCAGTTGCGACCCTTCGAGTCCCTTTGCGTTCTTTGTCCGCCCCCTCGTGTAACCTCCGTTGACTCGCGTACCCGTTGTGATCTTCCTCGAGTGTAGTGTTACACTTCAGAAACGCTTAAGTCCTTTGAGATATTTCCAACACTCCCCTTCGTTTCTGGAGTGTTGACGTGTTCAGATCCGGTGACGTTTGTCTGTCCGGTCAGCAGCATGCAGTAATCGAACTTCGCCTTCGCCAGTTTCTTCGTTAGGTAGTCTGCGGCCATTTCTGTTGTAGGGCAGTAACTGAGTTGAAGTCTCCCCTTCGCGATTTCATCTTTGACGAAAAAGTACCGCAGGGCAATGTGTTTGGTTCGGTTGGCGAAGCCGTCCTTGTTCGCGATTTTGATCGCAGATTGGTTGTCGCAGAGGAGTGAGAAGACGGGCAGGGTCGCGATCTTCGCTTCCTCGAGCAACTCTCGTAGGTAGAGTCCTTCCTTGGTCGCAGTGCAGAGGGCGATATATTCTGCTTCAGCCGAAGATAGTGCGATTAGTTCCTGCTTGCTCGACTGCCAGGAGATAGTCCCGATAGGTTCTAGTCGGTAGATGTAGCCCGTTCTCGATCGTCGATTTTCCCTGTCTCCCGCGTGGTCGGCGTCGACGTATCCGAGTAGTCGTACGGACGGTGTTGCTACTTTGCTGTAGGTAAGCCCGGTCGTTGGCGTGGAGACGAAGTAGAGTAGTGCCCGGTTGAGTTCCTCGAGATCTTCTTGTTCCGGCTGCTTCAGATGCGTCGCCAGTTGGCTTGCGCTATAAGAGAGATCGGGTCGGCAGGTTACTGCTGCGAATAGTAGGCAGCCGAGCTTCTGCTGATACTCCTGGATTTGCTTCGCGGGGAGTTTTGCGGAGGTGCTGTTGTTGTTCCCGTAGCGGTAGGGAGTTGGGACCGTAGTCGGCGTTAGACCGAATTTCTTCGCGACGGTGCCTGCGTACTTTCCAGCGTGTAGGTAGAACGCCGAGTTGTCTTCGACGACATTCAGTCCCAGGTACTGGGTCACTGAGTCGGACACCGTGAGTGTCAAGTCTTCTTTCAGCTCCCCTTCGAACCAGGTGGCGATGTCGGTAGTGGAGCCGATGTAGAGCAGGTCGTCGACGTAGACGATGAGAAGGATAAAGGCTCCTTCCTTCTGTAGTCGATACATGCCTTGGTCGTGCGGCAGTTGTAGGAAGCCGATTCTGACGAGGCGGCCGTGAAGGTGCTGCTGCCACAGCCGCGGAGCTTGTTTGATCCCGTAGAGGGATTTTATCAGCTGGCATACTTTTGTAGGGTCGTCGACGAAACCGTGGGGCTGCTCAACGAAGATTTCGGCGTCCACAGGTGCGTACAGGAAAGCATTTGCGACGTCGATTTGGCGCAGTGGTAGTTTCTTCGTGGCCGCGACGGCGAGTAGGATGCGCAGGGAGGTGTGACGGGAGACTGGGGCAAAAGTTTCTGTGTAGTCGGTTCCGTGTCGTTGATCGAAGCCTCGTACGACCCATCGAGCTTTGAATCGTTCGATGGAGCCGTCCGCGTTGGTCTTGATGCGGTACACCCATTTTCCTGAGTGGACGTTCTTCCCGTTGATGCTTGTTGCAGGTACCAGCTTCCATGTATTTCGGTCTTGCAGAGCCTTTAGCTCTTTTTCCATCGCTTCCTTCCATTTCGCCTTATGTTCCCCCCCCAGAGCCTGCGACAGAGTTGAGGGCTCGCGCGGAGATGGCGGCGGCGGATGCTGGACGGAGACCCATAGGCCGAGTATCTGCAGTCCCGTGGGTGTGTGTCGAGGGGAATTTTCATTCCCGGAATAGGCTGTATCGTCACCGTCTTCTGGATCAGGTAAGAAGTTGGGGCCGATGCGTTCTGAAACATTTGTGTCGACCGGGTTGGGTGTAATGTAACCTTGGTCAGCGAAGTGGTAAAAGGTGTCGAGGTTGTTACTATCGAGGGGATTGTCTTCGTCGAGTGGAACAGGTACGGAACAGAAAGGGAGTGGTCCGGCAGCTTCCGAGGCTCCAGGTACATTTTCTTCTGCTGCGTCAGCCTCGGCAGCACGGTCGGCGAAGGAACGAAGGCCCGCGAAGCCGTCGGTGGGGTCGTGTGTGTTGGCAATGTTGTCCAGGTAATGCTGCAGCGTCAATCGCTCGTAGAAGATAACGTCACGTGATGCCACTGTATTTTTGTCTTGTATGTCGAGGATTTTCCATGCGTGAAAATGTTTTGCAATGCCGAGGTGTAGTCCCCACCGAGCTCGTTGAGTGAAGCGTCCTGCTCGGGCTGTGTGGGGTCTGTACTGTACCATGCAGCCGAAAACGCGAAGCAATTTTGTGCTGCCCCTTTTCCGTGTCCACAGCAGGTGCGGTGATGCGTTGTTGGGAAGCGATGACGAGGACAACAGGTTGTGCAGGTGGACTGCATGTGTCATTGCGTCTGGCCACAGTGTGATGGGCAGTCTCATCCCCAGGAGCAGCTTTCGCATCGTCGTCTGCAAGGTCCGGTTCATGCGTTCTGCGACCCCCTGCTGCTGGTGAGCGTAGGGCAGAGACACCAGGCGTCTGATTCCTCTTTCCGCCAGATAGGTCCTGAAGCGTTGTGACTGGTATTCCAGTGCACCGTCTGACTGGAAGCTCTTGAGCTTGGTTCCGGATTCTCGTTCGGCGATGGGTAGCCATGTCGTAAAGGCGTCGAAGGCTTGGTCGCGCGTCTTGAGGTTGTAGTGCCAGACGTATCTTGTTGCTGCGTCGATAAACGTGATGACATAGTTGAAGTCTGCTTCAGCGTCTTCTCGAGGCATGTTTAAAATGTCGCTGTAGACTTTTTCCGTTGCTGTAGACTCAAAACTCCAGGTAAAGAAATCGTGTCCGTTGAATGGTGAGGATGTCAGTAGTTTAATCACGTGTGAGAACTGCGCCTGGAGGCTTAAAATCTCGTTTGATGTCTGTTGTGATGCAGCTGCTGTTGGTTGGGCACGGGGCGGCATGAACTCGAACGTCCCCGGTGAAGAGTGATAAGGCGCAAAGGTAGGCGCTTGATTGTGTCGCCCGAATGATGAATTGTCGAGGCTCATCGGCGCTAATCCCATGTTTCCTCCATTGCTCTGTGTTGAATGCGCAGGTGTCCTTGTCTGCTGCTGCTGGTCGAAGTGCGACATGAAACTGAAGAATCTTTCCATAAGGTTTGGGTCGACGCTTGAAGACGGTGATGGGGTCACCATTTCCGGTGTTCTTCCTGTTGTCTCTTGAGCAGCGCCGGTCTCGGTCTGCAGTCCTGAAGTGTGCAGCCCAGAGTTGCCGTGTTGAGTGTCTTGGGCACTGGGTGAGCCCGTAGAGGTCTTCTTGCCCTTGTTATCCATGACTTGTGATCAATGAAGTCGTTGAATTGCAGATTGTATATAGAGCGTAGTTGCTGGGAGTTTGGTCTCTGACCAGCTCTCATACCATGTTGGGCTGAGAAAAGCCCTTAGGATCTTTCAGAGACTAAGTCCCAGTTGTAAAGGCTTGAGTAGTGCAGCGGAAGTTTTGAGGCAGTTGAACCCTTGTACTAGTATATGAGAACAAGTGATTGATTAAAGAAACAAGCATACAGCAATATATAGAAAATAAGAAAGCACTTGTAGAATACAGTTGCAGGAGCGGTTATCGAGTCGCACAGCGTCTCGATTGTCACTTCGGTTACCATCCGCGCTGTTGTAACGGTCAGTCGCAACCTCCAGTTGCGACCCTTCGAGTCCCTTTGCGTTCTTTGTCCGCCCCCTCGTGTAACCTCCGTTGACTCGCGTACCCGTTGTGATCTTCCTCGAGTGTAGTGTTACACTTCAGAAACGCTTAAGTCCTTTGAGATATTTCCAACATGTATCACATAGACAACTACCTTTCTCAAACCTATCACCAAGCAACTTTTCTACTGTGTAAGATACACATTTTACCACAGTGCATGCGTTGTCGTTTCTCGAATGCTTGCAATTGCAATGCAAAATGGAGCATGTTTACTAATGTTAAACGTTTGCTGAATGTCTGCCTGTCTGTAGGTTCTGCGTGTACCTTCTACAGCATCAAATGTTTTGCGGAATACTCAAAGGCGGATAAAATTCTCTGAATGCTCTCATTCGTCCGTCTGCAAATGTGTCTCATTTCTTGGTCGTCATCCCCATCGTCCAATGTCGTTTTGGTGTCAGAAGTTTCCATTCCCGCCAAAGAGTTTCCAAGTAAGCACCCCCCTTATAAATGCGGGTTCAACATGGCATCCCGCTGTGTTGAGGAGATGGTTTCCGCCAGTCGTTGCCCGTGCACGGATCCACCTAGGGCCGTTCGGCAATTCCAAGGTTGATCTGCCTGATCCGAACCAGCAAGGGTTCTCTTCCTGCCCCTCAACACCCCCCCATTGATCTCATCTGACTGGCTTCTTCCTCTACATTTGTTACTGCGTCTGGACTCGAGCATTTCTGCTAGAGCGATCTTGGTTTGAATCCACACACTGGTGTGGCCTGACACTAGTGGCTTAGCTGAGGCCGACCGCTACGTCAGCGAACGGTAGTTTCCTGACTGAACGAGTTGTCCCCCTATTAGGCCGACCTATCCTTCTTGCTGAATTCTAAGCTCTAATCCATCTACAGTGCATCGTACTCCATGGATCGGCGGGCTTTTCGAGCAGCCGTTTTTTTAGCAGCCGTTGTCCCTTTGCTAACTTCAGTCTCCGCAAGCGCTGGCGATACGGATCCGACCTTCCAGTAAGTAAACCCCGTTCGACGTATCGTCGTGATTACTTCGAAGTAGCACAAAATAAGTGGATTTGAGTAAGTTACCATCGGAAAACTGGCCAGCCGTCGGACAATCGTGAAGGCCTTCCCGGAAAACTGAACTGTCTTGGATCTGATCATCAAGATCGATGCCGGACAGCTGGCTTTCCGACATGAGAACTAGAAAAGCTGGCTTTCGAGTCGACTTGAGAACTACATAAGCTCGTGAATGCCGATGGTTATTGGGTTGAATCGCGAGGATCTGATCGTCTCACATCGCGTTCTGGATCAACGTTCCCGTGTCTTGGAGTCTGGTACTTAGTCCCGCCATTTGTTTCGAGAAGAACTATCGCGTCTCTCGCTGATGCGATGTCGCATTTATCCCTTTACAAGCCTTGAGGTCAGATTCGGCATATCTCAATCCAGCAATATCCTTACATTGCATTGTTGTAGAGGTCGTCGCGTGGTTTTGGGGTCTTCGCGTTGTACCACGGGCGAAGTTGGTCCTTCTCAGCCCGTGTTTCACAAATCGCCAGCTCTTGAGTCTGCTTTTTGAAGCGTGTAATGCACCGCAATGCACTGCTATGTACTGCATCGTACCGCAATCTATCCCTTCACGTTGAACCATGGTCGAAAAAAGTCCTTCCCAGCTGCTTCGCAGATCGCCAGCACTGGAGGCATCTTCTGGATTCCAGCCGGATCGAACCCAATGTAGTAGTGTAGACGTCTGAGACACCGTACCATCTCCTTTTACTTATCGTCACGCCTGCAACATGACTCGTGAATCCGCCGCTTTTTGGGTCCGCAATTGTAGAATCCTCAAAAAGTCGGGCGATGAATCCGTTCACGTTATGTCCGATCAATTTCCTCACACCATTAAACCCGTCTACTCTCCCCCTGGTCTTTCCTGTTATATGCATGTTTCCCTTCATGTCTAATCCTCTTTTTGTCTCATCCCCATACACGCCGGCTTTTCTCCTCTCTTCAGATCATGCCTGCTTGACTGCCAGAAAACCGGATGCGTGAGCGACCGCTGCATTCCCGGCTGTCCGCCTGCAATCACCGCTGACGGGATGACTGACGGAATGGTGACGGGTCCGTTAGAGCTCCGTCTGCTGCGGTGGGACTGCGTGAGCGAGTGCAAGTACCAGTGCATGCGCGACATTCAGATGCCCGGGGTACCTCAAGTGCAGTACTACGGCAAATGGCCCTTCATCCGCGTTCTTGGCTTCCAGGTGAGATTTGTTTTATAACGAGTTCTTGAGCGTTTGCAAGTTCCAGTGCATGCGCGACATTCAGAAGCCCTGTTTGCCCCAAGTGCAGTACTACGACAAATGCCCTTCCATCCCCGTTTTCCAGGTCAGTTTTTGTTTTAATATGTGCATTCTAACCAGGTGGGTGTATGACAGGGCCTTCTCCTACACTCCATAGCTTACGATACCCCATAGGCTGCTGACATGACCCATGGCCTATCATGACCCATAGCCTAACATGACCCAGCCTTCCATGACCCATAGGCTACTAACATGACCCATGGCCTACCATGACCCATGGCCTAACATGACCCATGGCCAACCATGGCCCATGGCCTTCCATGACCCACGGCTTTTGAGTCGATTCAAAAGCAGACCCATGGCCTACCATGATCCAGCCTACGATACCCCAATTCCTGCCATGACCCATGGCATGGCCTACCATGCCACATATGTACCATGACCCATGGCGTAACATGCCACATAGTCCACCATACGCATCATTCCTTCCTCCTCTCGCTACCATCGTGTGCGTGCTCCCTCCCCTCCCTTTCCCTCCAGGAAATCGCCTCGTCCACCTTTTCCATTCTCAAATTCATTGCCACGCTCTAAAACCCGAAACCCTGAATCTTTCCTGCACCTCGTGCACCCCAAGCTGCCCCTATGAAATGCGGTGTCCTTCTCTCTCCCTCTTCCCCGGCCTCCCTCCCCCATTCTCCACAGAAGATTGCCTCCTCAGCCTGCGTCCATCCTCAATTTCACCCCCACGCTCTACAGCCTCTACCCCTTCCTGCACCTCACGCACTCCAAGCTGTCCCCTTCAAATACGCACTATGTCCCTTCCCTCCCTCCCTCCCTCCCAAATTCGTGCGTCCATACCACCACAGGAAATCGTTTCGTCCGCCTTCTCCATCCTCAACTTCCTTGCCACGCTCTACGGCCTCTACTCCTTCCTGCGCCTCATGCACCCCAAACTGCCCCTACCAAACACAGTATCCTCCATTCCTCCCTTTCTCCCTTACCTCCCTCCCTCCCTCCCTCCGTCCCTCCCTCCCGCCCCTCCCCCTCCCTCCAGGAAATCGCGTCGTCCGCCTTCTCCATTCTCAATTTCCTCGCCACGCTCTACGGCCTCTACTCCTTCCTGCGACTCGTCTATGCCAAGCTGCCACGCAAGCCCATGGGCGACAAAGGCCCGCTCTACGAGTACTCCACGATCATGGCCGTCTACGGGCTCTTTGCCCTCAACTCCTGGCTCTGGAGCGCCATCTTCCACGCACGGTAGGTGATTGAGCAGGTGCCAACTGGTGCAGGTGGTATCTGGTGTGGTGCACTCCCACCCACCCCGCAAGCCCATGGGTGACAAAGGCCCGCTCTACGAGATCTCCACGCTCATGGCCGTCTACGGGCTCTTTGCCCTCAACTCCTGGCTCTGGAGCGCCATCTTCCACGCCCGGTAGGTGTTGGGGCAGGTGTCATTGGGTGTGTAGATGCTATCTGGTGCAGGTGTGTCTGGTGTGGTGCACTCCCAGCTGCCCCACAAGCCCGTGGGCGACAAGGGCCCTCTCTACGAGTACTCCACGATCATGGCTGTCTAGGGGCTCTTTGCCCTCAACTCCTGGCTCTGGAGCGCCATCTTCCACGCCCGGTACGTGCTCTGTCAAGGCTTGTTGATGTAACTCAGGATCTCTACTGGGAAACCGCATCATGGTCATCTGCAACCTCTTTGCCCTCAACTCCTGGCTATGGAGCGCCGTCTTTCACGTGCTGGGGAAGGTGCTATCTGGTGTGCAGGTGCCATCTGGTGCAGGTGCCAACTGGTGCAGGTGGTATCTGTTGTGGTGCACTCCCAGCTGCCCTGCAAGCCCATGGGCGACAAAGATCCGCTCCAGGAGTACTCTACGCTCATGGCCATCTACGGGCTCTTTGCCCTCAACTCCTGGTGTGCATCATCCGCATCAGCAGCCTCAGGGAGGGGTTTCACCTCCCACACACCCCTCCCTTTTCACTCTCCCCCTTTCCCTCTCTCCCCTGCAGGGATGTCGCTGTCACAGAAGTGGGCGACTACTCATCTGCCATCGCCCTCATTGGCATGCCGCTGCTGGTGTGCATCATCCGCATCAGCAGCCTGAGAGTTCAACCTCTCCTTATCCGACCCCTCCCCAACCCCCACCCGCCCCTCTCCCCGCTGCAGTGACGTCTCGGTCACAGAAGTGGGCGACTACTCATCTGCCATCGCCCTCATTGGCATGTCGCTGCTGGTGTGCATCATCCGCATCAGCAGCCTCAGGGAGGAGGCCACGCGGGTGATGGTATCAGCACCTGTGATTGCCTTCACCACTACGCACATATTCTTCCTCAACTTCTATGACTTTGACTACGGTGAGTGTGGCTATAACGAGAATGACTATAGCGAGTATGTGTGCATCATCCGCATCAGCAGCCTGAGGGAGGAGGCCATGCGGGTGATGTCATCGGCGCTGGAAGGGCCTTGGTATCTTGAGCATGCCTGCCAACCTAGAGCTCTTGGTTCCAAGTGAGATCCCCTTTCCCACCACGCACATACTCTTCCTCGACTTCTACGACTTTGACTTCTGTGAGTGTGACTGTAACGAGGATGACTATACTGCGTATGACTTAAGTGGAGAAATACGCTCGCGCAGCCAAGCGTATCGCGTATGTACGCTGGCGTTTTTACGCGATACGCAGTACGCTAAGGTAGTACGCAATACGCTAGCGTATTTCTCGGCAGTCTGCCCGGTGAGAAATACTAAAAAAAACTATGTCACAGCTCGCGACTTGGCGAATCAAGCCATAATTTTTGCCAAGTCGCAAACTCGACTATGTTCTTTCAACTCAACATTCCAACCCCTCCCCCCCCACCAACCGCACAGCATCCAACCCAAACTGGGAGTCCCAACCAACTCCCACCCAATCCAAACCCTCCCCCCATCCCAACCGCACAATATCCCACCAAATCTACAACTCCCAACCAACACCCAACCAACCCCCCCCTCTTCCCCACTCAACTGCACAGCATCCCACCCAATCTACAACTTCAAACCAACACCCACCCAAACCCCCTCCTCGTTCCCTCCCAGTCGCACAGCATCCCACTCAATCTACAATTTCCAATTTACACCCACCCAATCCCCCTCGTCCCTCTCTCTACTCCACAAATCTCCCCATCGCGTTTCACTCCCATACTTACGACGAATCCAGCCAGCGCAATTCTCTCCCTAGACTAGCGGGGTAAGTTATAACTATTTATTATCATGATAAATGACAATATTTTTGGTGGGGGGATTTGATGCTCTGCAACCCCAGCCCTCCCCTCCCCCACCCCCCCAAGCAGAGTTTTTTCAGCCCTGCCCGAACTTTTTTTGCCTGCCCGCCCGAGCGTTTTTCCTGCCGTTTCAGAAACCAGAATCAAGCGTACAGCGTATATACTCTAGCGTATATACGCCGTACGCGTATTTCTCCTCTTAGTGTATGACTATACTATGTGTGACTTGTGGAGGGGAGCCAGCATTCCCTCTGCACCTTACCCCTTCTTCTCTTGGCCAGGCTTCTCCCCCCCACCCCCCTACTTTCCCCCACACTCCCTATTTTCCCCAACACCCCCTATTTTGCCCCACACCTCCTACTTTCCCCCACAACCCCCGCTTTCAGCACTGGTAGATTGGAACATCACTGTGTGCACCACCATGGGGGTCGCGCAGCTGTCGCTGTGGACCGTGTGGGAGAGCCATATGCCGGCCAGTCAACACCTGTTGGTCTCACTCCACTCTTCCGTCCCCCATCCCCTCCCTCCCTCCCAGTCGTAGATTGGAACATCACTGTGTGCACCTCCACGATGGTGACTCAGCTGCCACTGCGGACCATGTTGGAGGGCCATATGCCGGCCAGTCAACACCTGTGTGGTCTCACTCTGATCTTCCTTCCCCCATCCCCTCCCTGTTCAATCCCCTCCCTCCCTCCTGATCGCAGATTGGAATGGAGCATCACATCACAGTACGCAGCCATGGGGGTGGCGCAGCTGCTGCTCTCAACCGTCTGGGCCATAAGCACCCACCCGCACCCCTCTGAACCTCACCTCTTCTTCACATCAATCCCCCCTGCCCTTTCCTCACCCACTTTCGTTCCTCGCAGATTGGAACATCACTGTGTGCACAGTCATGGGGGTGGCGCAGCTGCTGCTGTGGACCATCTGGGCCATAGGCACCTACCTGCACCCCTCTGCACCTCACCTCTTCTTCACTGAACCCCACCTCCCCTCCGCCCCCCCCTTCCCGCCTCCCCCACACCCCCCATTTTCCTTCCTCACAGATAGGAACTTCACAGTGTGCACTGTCATGGGGGTGGCTCAGCTGCTGCTTTGGACCATCTGAGCCATCAGGCCAACGTCATCCCTCCCTCCATGTGAACAACCTTTCCCCATTCCCCATTCCCAACCTCCTACCCCATGCAGATTGGAACATCACTGTGTGCACAGTCATGGGTGTCGCACAGCTGCTGCTGTGGACCATCTGGGCCATAAGCACGCGGCACCCCTCTGCCTGGAAGGTTCTGCTCGTTGCGGGCGGCACTGCCTTGTCCTTACTGCTGGAGCTGTACGACTTCCCGCCGATTCTGGGCCTGTTTGACGCGCACTCGCTGTGGCATGCGGCGACAGTGCCGTTCACGCTGGTGTGGTGGAGCTTCCTGTGTGACGATGCCAAGTATCGCACGCAGGTCCTGCTGGCAATGAAACGGCCGAGTAGGGGTGAATCGAAGAAGGTCCAATAGAGAAAAATGTGGGAGACTCTATAGGGTTCTGAGAAAGAAACAGGTCCAGCCAAGCCTTACTAACTAGTTTTAGCTCTCGATTACCAAATTTTGGCTGGTACTAGACCCCGCAATCCCTTGCCAATACTGGGCCTGTTTGATACGCACTGGCTGTGGCTGGCACACTGTAACGGTGCTGTTCATTCTCATCTCATGTGGTGAATCTCCCTACACGACAATGCCAGGCGGGTAGGTAGGTATGCTCAAATCACTACTAGCACCGTATGAGACAGAAGGAATTCCGGTACTGCACATTAGCCTACATCCTATGTCAAGGGGCAGCTCTACCATAGTGGTCTTACATGTGTAAGTGCAAACGAGGCAAACGACCTTGCAGGGATTGCAAAGCGTATAGGCATATGTCCTCCTCTATAGTTAACTTTCACGAAGTCATCAGCGTATGATGTCCTCCAGGAGTGTACCTTTGATTTGCCACCTACATTTCTCAAAAACCACCACGGGATGTGAATCTTCACTGTTCTTGGCGTCGCCTTTTGATTCACCACAAAAACACTGATCATCCTTTTCTTTGGGGTGTAGAAAGCTGCAATCCCGTAACTGCACTTCGCTTTGTTGACATAGAGCCGCTTGCTTCCCGCGGGAGCGAGACTTGTAAAATGCTTCAAGATCCAAAACTTTTTGGAGACCGTCGGCGGAGTGTAGACTGTAGACTCATCCGGCGTTTTCGACCAGTCGATGTGAATCAGCGCCCAGGATGCCACGGGGTCAATCGCCTGCCAAAAGACCCACCCAGTAGCTTCCAAAATGTTGATCGCCGCAATGATTGACCTCGCCATGAACAGTGCCACGTCCATATCCTCCCCGCCTCGCAAGAGCGGTCCCCATTCCGAAACCCACACCTCTTTCTCCTGCCCTTTCGCGATCCCCTTCATAACATGAAAATTTTGGGTTGTCCACTCGACCGAACTCGTTCCGTTTTTCGCCAGGCTCATGTAACCATGCACGTTGTAACGGGCGAGGAAAGGGTTCAGAGTCCCAATCTGTCTCGGGGTGGTTTGGACAAAGCTATCCACCGAAACAATCCCCGTTTTAAGCTGCTTCCTTTCAAGAGCAGCCTGGACCATCAGTAGAATCCGCTTCATCTGCTGTAAACCGATGTTACACCCCTCCTGCCCTCCCCCCTTCATCCACCACCCCTCCAAAGCCTCATTAAACGGCTCCAAGGTATCAAACACCATTCCCTCACCCCAGCTAGTATCCTTGGCAAATTTCTCCACCACATCAGTGAGAAATTCCGCATAAGCTTCTTCGTACTGCACCTTCAAATTCCCCTCCCCGTATTTGGAAGCCCCAGCAACATCCCCAGACACTGTCATCCACCAGGGTGGGCTGTTGGCAAAAGCTTCGAATGTGTCTGCCCCGCGCGCCCGGGCAGCGAACAAAACTTTCCGCTGCCTGTCGTCTGCTGACCAGTTGTAGCCTGCTTGCTCTGTGGCTTTAAAGCCCGGCATGCCCCGCCATTTTCCCCAGCCTGTTTGGAGTCGGGGGCTGTTGGTAGCGTTGTTGCCGCCTCCTATGTTGTAGCGGATTATGTTGAGGTTTAGTCCCGATGGGGAGAATAGGAGGTCCATGAGAGGGTTGAAGTGCGTGTCGGGGAAACCACCCACGAAGTTTCCTAGCCTGAGAGGGATGGAAGCGTGGGAGGGGATATCAGAAGGAGAGTATTGAGTCAAGGGAGAGAAGTGGGGTCGGTGCATTGAGAGAGTGTGTCTGTTTGAACCTGGGGGTTGTTAGTCGCATTATGCCCGCCTCCTATGCTGTAACAGACTGTTGAGGTTTGGACCTGAAAGAGAAAGAATAGGAGGTCCATTAAGGGGTCACAGTGGGCATCAGGGAAACCACCCACGAAGTTTCCTAGACTAGGAAGTATAGAAGGAGAGAGAGAGGGGAAGGTCAGGGGGGATGTGTTGAGTCAAGGGAGAAAAGGGGGGGTGGTGCATTGAAGGGCGGGGACAGGGACAAGAGGGCCGCAAGGAGATTGAAGTGGGATTGAAGGAAGCTATCTATGAATAAGCATACATCCTTCACCTCACCCCCCCTCCCCCCCCTTTTCACCTCAACCCCCTCCCCTCCCCTTCACCTCACCCCCACTCCCCCCCCCTTTCCCCTCACCCCACATCTTCACCTGCAGTCTTACCAGCACAGCCCAGCCTCGCCACTTGCTCCCCTGCCGTATCCAGCCAGAAAGGGGTTGGAGGGAGGGATAATGAATCGGGAGCGGGGGAGGAGAGCGAGGGGGAGAGAGAGAGGGGGGGAGAGAGAGGGGGCAGAGGGGGGGGGGCGGGGGGGAGGGGTGGCTTACCAGCAGAGGGAGGTGCCCCAGCCTCGCCACTTGTTCCGCCTGCGCGGGTTCAGCGTCACTGACGCGGAGCCTGGGAAGGGGGAGGAAGGGAGGGGGGGGAGGGTGGGGGGAAGAGCATCAGCCCGCTTGTTCCGCCTGCGCGGGTTCGGAGTCACTGACGCGGAGCCTGGGCAGGGGGGAGGGTGGGGGAGGGTGGGGAAGGGTGGGGAGGGTGGGGGGAGACGGGAGACACGAGACACTCAATCAACTTGTTCTGCCGCCATGGATCCAGAGTCACTGGCACAGAGCCAGGAGCGGGGGAGGGAGGAAGGACGGGTGGGGAAGGGTGGGGGAAAGAGCAGGCACACAGCTACGTGTTACGCCGCCGCGGAGTCAGAGACACCGATTCTGGTGTCAGGGAAGGAAAATGGGAGGGGGGAGGGGGGAGGGGGGAGGGGGAGGGGGGAGGGGGGAGGGGGTATGCGACAATCTCGCGGCACACAGTTAGTTGGTCCGACAGTTTTTCGAGGCGACTTTTGAGTCGACTCAAAAGTTCATCAGACAGTTTTTGCGGGGCAATAAGAGAATTTCGATGCGAGGAGCAGATCGACGCGAGGAGCAGATCGATGCGAGGAGCAGATCGACGCGAGGAGCAGATCGATGCGAGGAGCAGATCGACGCGAGGAGCAGATCGATGAGAGGAGCTCCCCATGAGACCGTTGCGCGCGGCAGATACAAGTCGTGAAAGGGACGTGCGAGGAGACGACTCGGAGTGAGTCGACTCAGCACTGTCCAAGTATGCGGCTCGGGCGAGTGAGGGACGAATGGGGGAAGAGTGAGGGACGAATGGGGGAAGAGTGAGGGACGAATGGGGGAAGAGTGAGGGACGAATGGGGGAAGAGTGAGGGACGAATGGGGGAAGAGTGAGGGACGAATGGGGGAAGAGTGAGGGACGAATGGGGGAAGAGTGAGGGACGAATGGGGGAAGAGTGAGGGACGAGAAAGGCCGCTAGGCCAACGAGATAGCGCGGCAAAATCGATGCAAAGCGCGCCGAGAGCAAAGCGCCTACCTTCCAGCACAATTAGGTTCGGCACAGTTAGGAATTGGGGGGGGGGGTGGGGAAGTGTAGTGGCGTACCTCCTCCAGTGCATATATCGAAGAGCTCAGTAGCGGGTGTCAGGTTCGGCGTTGAATTCTCTGCGACTAGGGGTCGACTCGAACCACCAATAGATGCGATTCGCGCGCTGGCGAGCGACGCCACTTGCGACGTCGCTGTTAGCGAAGAATTTTCGCCACAAGGGATCGGAACCGGGTGCGGCGATAGCCCTTGCTCAAAGCAAATGAGGGGACCCACGGGATCCCCTGATGTGCCTGAAACGACCGGAAGCGTGATATTGACGGAGTAGTCTATACCGGGGATATCTGGAATTATCTCGTCGCTGGGAGACGGGGCGGGAGCGCTTGCGGGAGCGTTTTCAGACACTCCAGCTGAAACAGCGGCGGAAAACGCGGCGGAGAATACGGAGAGCAGGAGGAAAGTGCGACGGAGAGGACGAGAGGATAAACGAGGGTTTCTAAGCGACATGGTTCAGCTATGGCCAAGTTAACGAACAGTCCGTCACGATCAGTCCGTCAACGTTAGCGATCAGTCTTCCAGAGGTAACGATCGGTCCGTCAAAGTTAACGATTGTGCTGTCGAGCGAACTATAAGTCCGTCAGGTCGACCATCCGTCACTAGTAGCAGTGACAAATGCTGATTTCGATCTCCGTGACGATTTCCGTCGACGCTTTTCGGACGGCTTCCGACTGTGACTGCAATCGTTCGTCGCCAACAGCTGACAGCATGACCGACATAAATCTCGCCAGATCTCCGGCATGATCGGCCGTACGACAGTGGTACAAAATTGCAACGGTAAGTACGAGGATATTAGTCGCCACAGCAACGGTAAGTACGAGAATTGCACAGCCCAGTTCGGGTCTGGAATGCTGACAAGAAAGCTAGGACAAGTCCAGTCCAGTCCAGTGATGGCAGGTGGGGGCGTTTTGAACTGACAGGGCAAGATGCTTTCTTGTGGTTTCGGGTTTAGCTCGGTTTGGTGTAATATATTATAGGTTTTGTGAGATGCAGAGACTTTCAACACGGTATAGAGCTTGGGTGTCTCTGTTGGCATTCGAAATGCCCTCAGTCATGATGAGTCACGAAAGCAAGAATTTCGCACAGTGACCGACTAGAACATTCGCGAATCGGCGACACGAAATCGCATGGTCCTAATGTTCCTCCGGGCCGCGCCGCGAGAGTTACGATTGGCTGACTGGTTCCCGCTGGTGACAGTTTGGCGGGAATCAGGTTGGGTTGGAAGGGATGCGGGAGGCGGAGAAAGAAACGGGGGAGGGGGGGGGGGGGGTAGGGGGGGTTGGGGGAGGGTGGGGAGAAGACGGGGCGAGTGGGAGGAAGTTGGGGAAAAGGGGGGAGACAGGTACAGTGCAAGGCGGTGTCGGCATTCTGCTGTCGATACTGTTCACTGCTCTTTTCCACCAAGTTGGGTTTGGGTTGGGCTTTGAACGACCCCGCACGACAAATACTTTCTGACCTGTCCTTGTCGCACATACGAAGCTCGCTTTCAAGCATACGTGGCTGGTTTCTGCTGCCACATCGGCATTGGCATTGCATGTCTCCCAGCCACATCCTAGCCACCATATCCGCGACAGCCAGAGCTGATTGAGCTGCCCTTGACATACACGACGAAGACGCCGCGTCGGCGTGCTGCCATGAAGTGGTGCCGTGAAATATGAAGTTGCAAAATGATCGTTCAAACAAAGTTACAGAAAGATACACTTCAGCTAGAGATGCGCCAGCAACTTTACTTCCTACTGTTACATGGCCTTTACTACGACGTGTTAATATTCATCAAGGGCCTTACAAGCGCAACTGCAAATAAGACAAATGACTTACCAGGGATCTGAAACCGTATAGGCAACTCCCCATAGTTAAGTTGCATGAAGTCCTCAGAGTAAGATGTCCTCCCTCCCTCCCTCCCTCCCTCCCTCCCTCCCCTCCCTCCCTCCCTCCCTCCCTCCCTCCCTCCCTCCCTCCCTCCCTCCCTCCCTCCCTCCCCCCCCCCCTCTCTCTCTCTCTCTTGCTCTCTCTCTCTCTCTCTCGCTCTCTCTCTCTCTCTCTCCTCTCTCTCTCTCTCTCTCTCTCTCTCTCTCTCTCTCTCTCTCTCTCTCTCTCCTCTCTCTCTCTCTTCTCTCTCTCTCTCTCTCTCGATCTCGTTTTAACAAATAAATTGAAGGAGAAGGGAAAAACAGGGGTAGAAGGACGTGTCATGAGAGAAAGTAAGGGATGCGAGGGGAGGCAATGCAGAGCGAAGCCCTGAATTTCGAGGCGAGGCGAGAGTAAAGGTGAGAAAGGCGAGGCAGAGGTGACGGTCGGCGGATGAAAGGAACGAATAGATATCATAGGCTTTATTAGGGACTGTATGAACTGAGAGTTAGTTGAGAGAGGCGAGAAAACAATGCAGAGTTGAAGCGCTAAATTCCGCTGCACGGGAGCCAGAGGGGAGAGGGGGTTGAGAAATACGTGTAGCGTACCTCCTCCGGTGCATATATCGAAGAGCTCAGTAGCGGGAGTCAGGTTCGGCGTGGAACTCTCTGTTAGGTGCGGACTCGAACCTCCGCTGGATGCGACTCGCAAGCTGGCGAGCGACGCCCCTTGCGACACGCTATGCGACTCGACATGCCACGCGACTGTTCGCGAAGGGTTTTCGCTCCTGCGAATCGGAACCGGGTGCGGCGACGGCCCTTGGCGAAAGCAAATGGTACGAACGGGGCGCCATGGTTCGCCTAGATTTAGTGACGAACGCTGCTTTCTCCCGCATAAAATATCGGGTCTGTAAAGATTATTGCGGGGCTTTTACGATCAGTGACGATTTCTGTCAACGATAACAAACCGTCCATCACCCAAACCGTTCGTCAGGAATAAGTGACGGGATGATTGACCGCCGCGCATAGTTCTTACACTAAAGCGAACTTTGAAATGCCTGAGAACAACTAATAATCGACGAATGTAACGGTGCCAGTGCCGGACGCGACTCGAGAAAGGGTTGGGCCGACAAATGAGGCCGAACATGACGAGTCGAGGAGTTCGGGTGTACGCGCTCACGTACAACTCAATAAACACTAACCTCTCCTCGTACGCTGTAGGCATCGGAAACTTTCCAACGCTGATAGTACGCTGTAAGAATCGGGTGTGATTCTAGATCCGCGAGGGGTACCCAGCTGTCATCCTCAGACGTCCGATCACGCCGTCTGATGAGAAAATTTACCATCCGACGGTTTTGCTGCGTTGTGACTCGATGGTCGAGAATCTAGAGGGGCGTCAGGTGCGGAACAATGTGTCGTCGTGCCAAATCCGACGAACTGGGAACGTAGGGCCGTAGGAGGCTGACGTGGAAAGCCAGGCGTGTCAAACATAACTTTATATGTTATATAGCCTGTATAGGGTCGTACCTTAGAGGGTACCAACTCTTTAGCATATATTGCAATGTATGCTATGATTTTAAACCATTAGTTTCTGCTAAGATGGTATCACGAGTAGGCCCCGTTCACCCCCCCCCCCCCCCCCCCTCCCCCCGCCCACCGAATTCATTTTGTTATGGTATCATAGTACGTTAGGTCCCCTAGCCCGCCCACGCTTCTGCCCCTCGGCCCTCGCTGCCGTCTGGCTCCCTAGCCGTTCACGCCCGTCCCTAGCTGGCCCCTAGGCTGTTCGCGCCCGTCCCTAGCTGGCCCCCTGGCCGTTGGCGCCCGTTCCTAGCTGGCCCCCAGGCCGTTCGCGCCCGTCCCTAGCTGGCCCCCTAGCCGTTTGCGCCCGTCCCTAGCTGGCCCCCTGGACGTCGCGCCCACCCCTAGCTGGCCCCCAGGCCGTCGCGCTTGTCCCTAGCTCGCCCCCAGGCCGTTCGCGCCCATCCCTAGCTGGCCCCCTGGCCGTTCGCGCCCGTTCCTAGCTGGCCCCCTGGCCGTTCGCGCCCGTCCCTAGCTGGCCCCCAGGCCGTTCGCGCCCGTCCCTAGCTACCCCCCTGGCCGTCCCGCCCGCCCCTAGCTGGCCCTCAGGCCATCGCGCCCGTTCCTAGCTGGCCCCCTGGCCGTTAGCGCCCGTCCCTAGCTGGCCCCCTGGCCGTCGCGGCCGCCCCTAGCTGCCGTCGCGGCCGTTTTCAGCCGGCTCACGGCCGCCCCTCACCGTCGCGGCCGCCCCTAGACGCCGTCGCGGCTGTCCCTGGCCGCCGTCGCGGCTGTCTCTGGCCGCCGTCGCGGCTGTCCCTGGCCGCTGTCGCGGCTGTCCCTGGCCGTCGTCGCCTCAGCTTCTAGTCGTCCCCTGTTGCCGCCGTTTCCTGGCCCCTCGCGTCCGTCGCCCGTCGGCCCGCCCCTGCATTCGCGTCGTCGCCAACACGCTGCCGCCTCGGGCTCGGCCCGTTCTTCCCGATCAACACCGCCCTGCCGACCCCCCCCCCCGGTGCCGTACTGCACCGCTTTGCACCACACTGCACCGCTTTGCACCGCACTACACCGCACTGTACCGCACTGCACCGCATTGCACCGCACTGCACCACATTGCACCGCACTGTACCGCACTGCACGCACTGTGCTGCACTGCACCGCACTGCACCATCCTGCACCACTCTACACTGCCCTCTATTGTCACTGATGGCGGCGGTGCTTCGCTTTGACGCTGAGGGGCAGCCGCTTGAGTTTGATGCGTGGCTTGCTGACCTCCGTCGCCATCTCACTGGTCAGTGGCAGGATGGCCATTCGCTCTCTGTCCATCTTGATGGTACCCTCCCCTGCCCTGACCCCCCCGCTGCACTGTCTCCTGACCCCTCGTCCGCTGAGCGTGAGTCCGCTGCGGCCGCTGCCCTTGCTCGCTCTGTCTGGCTGTCCGGTGACGCTGTCGCACAGCTTGCCATTAGCAATGCCCTCCCGCTGTCCGAGGACCTCACTTTCGGTCTATCACCACTGTCCAGGCTTTCCCAGATGCTGTTGTCCAGCACTATTCCACCCCGCCTGCTGCCTCAGTAGGTCGTCTGATCCTCCCCATGCTCTTCCCTGACCTTGCGTCGTTCCCCACTGTCGCTGACCTGGCCGATCACCTACGCGCTATAGATGAGACCTGGCGTGCTGCCTGTACTCCCACACAGCTTCTGGCCCACCAGCCGCCCCTCACCTCTACTCTCTACCTGCTAGCCACCCGCCTCCCTGACCGTCTTGCCACTGCCCGTGACCACTTCCTTAGTGTCCACCCAGCAGACCTCACCCTCATTGACTTTGTTGACACCCTGTCCATTATAGAGGTCCGCCACCGCTCTATCGCTCTCACTAGCGGTACTGTACTAGTCCCTATCTTTCAGCGTTGCGCCCCCGCTCAGTGCACCTTCTCCGACAGTTCTGCTACTGTGGCTGAGACTACCGCTGCAGCACAGGTCCGTCCGGGGAAGGGTCGCCGCCCCAAGGCTGGGCGTGGCGGCGGGGGTGGGGGTGCAGGTGTCGGTGGTGGTGGAGTCGGGTCGCCTGGTGGTGGTGCGGATGAGGGGACCATACCAGGTGCAGCCGAGCAGCCGCCACAACAGCCGCAGCAGCCGTAGCAGACAAGGCGGGCAAGCGGTCTCCCGCCCGGGTGGCCTGGCGCTGGTGGTGTGCCGGGTGGCGGTTCGGGAGGCGTGCGCTGTCAGTACCAGCTTGAGACCGGTCCTCGCCGCGGCTTCGTTTGCGGTAAGCTCGGTCACACCACTTCCCGCTATTTTCGTCGCCTGGACGACCTGTTTCGTCAGCGCTTCGGGCCGTCGCCCGACCCCCCGAACTGGCACAGCTTGCTTAGTCGTAGAGTTCAGATTTTTGACGTGGATATGGATGACATTGTTGCTGCCCTGCATGTGATGTATGCTGATGACTCTAGTGTGCTTCCCTCTTATTACCCCTTGTCCCCTAGTATAGGTGTGCCTAGCTTAGACTCCCCTGCTGCGTCAGGCGTAGGATCTCCTACTTTGTTTAGCCTCGGTGCTTCTGCCGCTGCTCCGCCGCCTGACGCCACTGCTGCGCTTTCCTTCACCTTGGACTCTGGCGCTTCCCGGTGTTTCTTCCGCGACTCCACGACGCTAACGCCGCTTCCTGTTCCTGTTGCGGTTTCTCTTGCTGACCCCTCCGGCGGTCCGGTAGTCGCCCGCAAATCCACCACCCTTCCCTGTCCGGCGGTTCCTTCGGGCTCTCTCACAGGCCTGCACATCCCTTCGTTCTCCAAGAACCTAGTTGGTGTCGGTTGCCTTCAGGACCTTGGCGTCACCACTACGTTCCCGGGTCACGAGCGGTATGCTGTCTGTACCGAGGCCGCCACAGGTGCCCCCTTGCCACGTTCCCCCGGGACCCGGTGTCCGGCTTGTTCACACTCGACACCGTGACCCCCCTGGCTGGGGCGTCCCCCCAGGTGGCTGCGTCTACCCATGTTGCTGCTGCCTGCTCTTCTCGATCCCTCACGCACCCGACTCTCATGTGGCACCACCGCCTAGGCCACCCTGCGCTTCCGCGTCTGCGTCAAATGTCCCAGGATGGTCTCGTCCTTGGTCTCCCGGGTTCGTTCCCCGAGTTTCCCTCCTCCCCCTCCCCCCCGTGCATGCCTTGTGTCGAGGGTCGGCTTCGCCATGCCCCTAACTCCTCCTCGTTTCCCCCTACCGCCTCGCCGCTGCAGACCCTGCACATGGACGTCTGGGGCCCCGCCCCCATCCATGGGCCGCGTCGAGACCGCTACTTTCTAGTGCTTGTCGACGACTTCATATGCTACACCACAGTCTTTCCCTTGGAGCGGAAGGCCGACGTGCCTGACGCTCTCATCCCTTGGCTTGTTGCTCCGCGTGTCCACCGCGGTCTCCCTATCTTGCGTCTTCATTCTGACCGTGGTGGCGAGTTTGCCTCAGGTGTCTTTGGTCGGTTCTGTCGTGCGGAGGGCATCACCCAGACGTTCACCCTGCCGGACTCCCCACAGCAGAATGGGGTCGCTGAGCGACGCATCGGTTTGGTCATGGAGGTGGCTCGCACCTCCATGATTCATGCCGGTGCACCCCATTTTCTGTGTCCGTTCGCCGTGCGCTACGCTGCTCACCAGCATAACCTGTGGCCGCACCCCCAGCAGCAGCAAGTTTCGCCGACCCTTCTCTGGTCTGGGTCTCCGGTCAAGCGTCTGCGTTCCACGTCTGGGGCTGCCTCGCTCACGTTCGTGCCTCCGGCACGGACAAGCTCACTGCCCGCACCCTTCGTTGTGTCTTCCTCGGTTTTCCCCTTGACACGTCCGACTGACATTTTTACCACCCACCGTCCCACCGGTTCTTTCACTCCCGCGATGTCACCTTTGACGAGACGGTCTCCTTCTACCATCGCTTCCCCAACCGAGTTCCCCCGGTTACTCCCCCCTGTTTCTCGTCACTTCTTCCCCAGTGGTCCCTGCCCCTCCCCCCCCCTCTCCCCGTCCTGCCCCCTCTGGTGTGTCTCATGTCACCCCCCTCCTGTAGGTTGTCCCGGTCGAGGAGTCTTCTGACTATGGTAGTCTTGCGGCTCAGTCCTTGCCGTCTGCCCCTACCCAGGTGTCTCCTCCTCCACCGCCTCCGCAGCCGCCGTTGCCTCTGCTGTCGCCTCCTCGTTCCCCCCTTGTGTCCCCTCCTCTGTCTCCTGACCCGACACCTCCGTCTCACGTCAGGTCTCGCCGTCCCTCCCGCGCTCGTCCTGTCTCCGTTGTCACGCGCTCTCACCCTATGTTGCTTCGTTCTCACGCGTCTCGTCCACCCCTCCTGCCGTCGCCTCCTCCGTCCTCCCTTATCGTAGCGCCTCCCCCTCTGTCTGACTACCTTCGTGCCGCTCATCCTCTTGTTCCTTAGGTCCTTGCCTCTCTCGTTACCGACCCGTCCGTTCCGGTCTCGTGTCTTAACGCTCTTTTAGCTGCGGTCGCTGACTTCGCCTCTACCCGCCGCCTAGACTACTCCACCGCGATTGCGCCTAAAGATTATCAGTGGCACCGTGTACAGCTTGGTCTTGTTTTTGTAGCCTCCCACTTGCTAGGGCTTTGATTGTGTATAGCTGTTTATATATGTTACCCTGACTGGCCTTGTGGCTTCTTCCTAGTGGCTGGAGTAGTAGTGCCATCCTGGTCTTGCACTCGCCTTGTTTGTACTCTTGTTGACTGGTGTTTAGACCCTTGCTTCAGAGGTTGGACTAGTAGTGCCACCTGAACTGCTTGTCTCACACTAGGCACTTCCCCTATACAGTCTAGGGGGTGTATCAAACATATATTTTTATGATTGATATAGACTGCATAGGGTCAGAGAGTACAACCAACTAGCTTATATTCATAGGTATGCTATGTTTCTAATCAATTAGTTCACGTTAAGACCCCTGGCACAGATCGAGTGTTACGAGCCTACCTCTAGTCTCGCAATGTGCGCGACATCAGCGCTCTTAGCTAAGACCATACTTTGGAGGGGGTAGGGTGTAAGGAAATGGCAATTCCTTATTACAGGTTTTAGTCAGTAAGGCGTACATTGCTATAATGGGGTTGCCGCAGAGCTCAGCCACGAAATTCAAATCGCGGTCCCAAATCTGGTCTCCTGACGAGCCGCATACGTTGATGCCCGCCTTGTTGTTGCATGCCTAGATCTGGGCGCTCCGTGCCATTTTATGAACCACACATCGCAACTGTGCTGAGCCATGACCGTGTGCTCCTAGGCTAGTTATATCCATGCCCCCTGCGGTTTGATGTTGTTTCAATTGTATTGTTTCCTCGTTAATCAATCGTTCTCCACGGTCTTGGTGCTTCATTACAGCACGGAATGTTACGACGTCATAACTAAAACGAGTGATTTTTTTTTTTAACCATCACCTGCCTGCTGTATGCTTTCGTTATTCTTCAGTCTGATAGTGCATTTATCCGAACATCACTTCTTTGAATTTGTGCGACGTGCAGATCGCCCAAACCATCTTCATAGCATGCTCATAGTGGGACGTAGACCCTCCTCAACTGTAACATGAAGCAATTTGATCCTTCGTTTTTACTATACGCCCTACCCCACCGCAATCAAACTGGCTCTTTGGTATGCAAGGAGATTGCCTGCCCCTCCCACCACGTGCCTTCTCCGTACGTTTGATTGGAGTTCGGTGAAATGCTCTTGGACTCAGAAATGTAACGGTCGGAAGCGGTTGGGTACCATAAGGGTAATGAGCAAGAAGCCTATGCGTGGGTGCCGGATGGGGCACAGTGTGCTTTTCCACTGGCACGGTACCGAGCCAACCGGGTTCGTTGCCCACAAGGCCGCCGTGGCAAGGCAGGACACCAGCACGTCCAACGAAGCTCGCGGCCGTCGCTGTGGTGCTGGTCTGGGCGTCGAGCGCACGTAGGCACACCCCCGCGTGAGGTTCGGAAAAAGCTGAGGAGATCGCGCGCCTCAACCAAAACTAAGTTTTGTTTTCGAACGGTCGACCCTTTTTGCGCGCGAGGTATAGCATGCCCGCGTTACCCAGAACGGTCGACCCCCCCCAACTGTACCCGTTTTCGTTTTGATATCACAGACCTCAATGTTTTTTCGGGGCTTCTGGTATGGGCAGCATGTGACGGGTCTCGTTCGGAAGCATACGACAAAAGATGACGGCGCATTAAGAATGGGGGCATTCGGAAAGGCATGCACAATATTTTATTGTCTAGTCTTAATCATTAGTGACATTGTTTTCCGCTAAACCAAGGCGGAACACCTCAACACCCTGTAATTATAGGTCTCACGAATCTCGCGTGACCAGCAAGGAGTGGTTTCGCGTTTTCCTGCCAGTCAAAGCCAGATCTGTCAGGCACCACTCTCGGTACCCGCGAGGTCTCGTGGGATTTTGGCGCGCCTTCCATCACTGTGCACCTCGCGCGTATAGCGTTCAACCTCAACACACCTGTTCGTACATGGAGAACCCTCTGGCTCTTACGTTTTCATGATGGGTGCAGCATTTGTTGTCACGAAACAATGATGTAAATCGGGGTGCAGAAAGCCATGGGCTGTTTTTTTTTTTTTTTTTTGTGACCCATTACATTCTTTCAAGCGCAACAATTGAATTGGGATCTGGCAAATCTTTCCACAGAACTAAAAAATACAAATCCAAATTACGTGATATCAAAACGAAAACGGGTACAGTTGGAGGGGGTCGACCGTTTTGGGTAACGGGGGCACGCTATACCTCGCGCGCAAAAAGGGTCGACCGTTTCAATCCAAACTTGATTTTCATCAGAGCGCGCGATTTCCTCGAATGCGGTCGTAACTCGTGAGGACAAATTGAAGCAAGAGAGACCAACGTGAACCTCCACCTCTGTGACGCAAGGAGATGGGAACTGTGGTGAGAGAGTTCAGGTGAGACTTCACCGAACATTTCGTTTTCACGGAATTACTGTACTAACCGGGCAGGGGGTACACAACACAGTACAGGAGCCATAAGGGGGTTGTGGAAAAGAACATGGCAGGAAAATCTGTGTCCCAACTTTCGAGGCATTAGAGTTTGCCCTATGAAGCTCCACCATCCCCGAAATTGACTCACGGGTGCGCACAAACCCCGGCAGTTTTGAACTTTCCAACGATTAGTTTCGAAACCCAAATCCAGCCCCAAGGCCAAGAATTTGAGCGCGGTCAGCATGTAGGGCTGCGTGTCTGCCCGTAGAACAGGAGCCCTGAGACAAGCAGCTTGCCACCCATCCCAAACATTCTCTGGGAAGAGCCCTGCCCAACGTTACCACATATCACACACTCCATCTACATATAGAGCGATTGCACACACGCTGACATGCCCTGACTTCATCGCCACTAGTCATAGCCGAGCTTCCCCACCGTTCACCTTCTACTGAGATTACCTGAAGCCACAATTGTGGCAGTGGAAATGGCTGATGGGAGTGCGCCAGAAATGCCGCCAGAAGCACCGCCACCAGATGTAACCTGTGTCGACCCTGCGGCGGCGGCGAGCCAATCAGAAACCGCAGCAGAGGAAATGACACAACCTGGCAGTTCCGCGGCGGCGGAAATTGCATCCGCCGCCAGTCAGTCCGCGGGGCACGCGCACGGCGCAGCCGCTAGTGGAGAAGGCGCAGGCGGAAGTTCCGCTGCGGAAGCTTCCTCCGCTGGTCCCCCGATTTTTGGCGCGCCGCGATCCTCCTCGGGACGCGGCGGCCGCGACGCGCCGCTTGGTGCGGAGGATGAGCTTTCCGCCGCCGACGTGCACTACTTCGCGGAAACGCTCCGCCAATGGCACGGCCGAACGGACACCCCGCGCTGCCCCGCCGCGGGGGCGTACCGCCGCCCCTCTGTCGGGGGGAGGCCCCGCGGCATTCCTCTGCAGATGTCCGCCCCGGTCGGGGGAAGCGCCGCCATGCGCGGAGCGGCGGCGGCGTTCGGAGGTGCGGCGGCTTCGGGGGAGAAGAAGGAGGAGGATGAGCAGCCACTACTAGCGAAAGGCGTGACGGAGACGAAAAGTGCGGGGGAAGCGCGGGGTGGGGCAGCTGGCGCGGCCCCAGGCGCAGGCGGCGCAGGCGCCGGGGAGGGGGACGATGGCGCGGAGTTCGACTACGGGAAGCTGCGGGGAGCGCTGATGGGGCTGGCGAAGGACGTGCTGGTGGAGCTGTGGATCGAGCAGCACGCGCGGCTCGTGGAAGTGGGCGAGCGAGAGGCCGCCAGGGAGGCGTACAGAGGCATCATGGAGGTGCGAGGGTTTTCAGAGGTTTGCTGCGTAGTGCGGTGGTGTATGGTGCGGTGTTGTGTGATGTAACATTGCGCGACGAGGCGTCCGTGTACTAGTGTCGTGCGGCGTAGAGGAGATGTAGCTGTGGGATGCAGGGACGCGTGGGTAGGAGTAGTAGGGTTGCGATGTTGTCACGGATGGTAGTTGCTCCGCTCCGCCGCCACACTGCGTGGTAGTAGCAGTTTGCGGCGCCACATCGCACGTGGTGAGACGCACGCAGCATAGCGCCGCGCCATGGGGTGAGGCACGGCATAGTGCGGTGTAGTGGAGTGCGGCGCGATGCCATGTAGTCCCCCGGTCTAGACGGGCCGCTTCTCGTTGATCGACTCACCAATACAACCATGCCTCGTTTGTGATCTCGCTCTTTGCCCCCCACCCGCACCCCGTCCCCACCCCCGCCCCCTCCCCGCCCCTGCCCCTCCCCTTTCCCCCTTCCCCCCTATCCAGCGCGCGCAGCAGCTGCAGCGCATTTCCTTCCGCATCCCGTCGAAGCGGGAGGGGTTGACGGGCATCGACCTGCTGCTGCGCGACGGGCTGCTCGCGTTCCTCGTCAAGCTCAGCCAGTACATCCCGCCCATGCCGGAACAGGTTCGTACGAAGGGGGTTGGGGGGGAAGGGTAGGCGGGGGGGGGGGGGGGGGTTGGCATCGTTCCTTGCCAAACTCGGCGAATACATCCCGCCCATGCCGGAACATGTTGGCGGGTAGGGGGAGGGGGGACGGTGGGGGAGCTGTGGGAGGGGTTGGAAGCGTTCCTGGTCAATCTCAGCCAATACACTCCGCCCATGCCGGGGCAGGTTGGCTGGGGAGGGGGGGGGAAAGGGAGGAGGGAGGGCGGGGTGAGGGTGGGGGGTTTGGAAGCGTCAATTCAACCTGTCCATGCCAGAACCGGTTAGGGGGGAGGGAAGGGGGAGGGGGGAAGGGCGGGGTGAGGGAGGGGGGAGGGTGGGGGAAGGGTGGGGGATCGGAAGGGGCCAGGGGCGCCGTGGGTAGGGGAGAGGGATGAGGGGTGAAAGGAGAGGGATGGATGGGTTCGCTGAACACACATTTAGCCTTTAGGGACTCGTGTATGGCGTGATTGAGCACGCGCATGCGCACACATCCACTGGCGCGCGCATGTGTACCCTTTTGCTACCCTCCCAACGTCCGAAACACTGCCCCCTCCTCTCCTCTCGCCCCCGGCCCCCCACCCCCCACCCTCCCCCTGCACCTCCCCCCGCACCTCCCCCACCCCCCCTTCGTGCGCTACATGCACTTTTCACTGGTCATTGCACTGTCCTTACAACTATTGTTGTCCGCCCCTTTCTCTGCATCCTCCTCCCTCCCCGCCCCTCTCCCCTCCCTTTCCCCCTCCTCCCACACCCCCCCCTCCCCTCCCCCCCAACACCCCCCGCACACCACCCCTCGCCTAGCTCCCCTGTTCCCCAGCCGGTGAAGTTTAACAGTCTGACGTACACACACAAGACTCAGTGCAAAGGGTTTCGGGTTTAGGGTAGGGACCACCATACAGGGCTTACGTGCCTTTCCTTCTTCTCTTCCGCACAACCTGCCCCCAGGTAGCTGCAGAATGTTACGTACACCGCAAAGATCCAGCGCAAGCAGGAGGGGTACAAGAACCCTCCCCCGTCCCTCCCCCCTCTTTCCTCTCACCTACCCTTCTCCTCACTCCTATCTTCCCCCTCCCCCCCCCCAGGTGGTGAAGCTGCAGAATGTGACCTACACAGCCAAGATCCAGCGCAAGCAGGAGGGGTACGAGACGGTGGGGTCGAAGCTGCTGGGCTGCTTCCTGCCGTGCCTCTCCCCACCCGCTCCCTGGGAGCACTTCAACGTGCTCTCGGACCTCTCTGCTTACTTCATGCCTGGTTCTCTCACGCTCATCTGCGGACCCCCTGGCTGCGGTGAGTCCTGCCCCTCCCCCCTCCCTGCAAGAGCCGCCCCCCCCACCCCAACCCTCCCTGGGAGCACTTCAACGTGCTCTCGGACCTCTCTGCTTACTTCATGCCCGGATCCCTCACGCTCATCTGCGGGACCCCCGGATGCGGTGAGTCCATTGGGTTGGTGAGATAGACGCACGTGGCTTCTGGAGCCCCCAACCTACCCCCACAACACCCTTCCCCCACAACACCCCCCCCCCACAACACCCGCCCCCCACAACACCCGCCCCCCCACAACACCCGCCCCCCCACAACACCCGCCCCCCACAACACCCGCCCCCCACAACACCCGCCCCCCCACAACACCCGCCCCCCACAACACCCGCCCCCCCACAACACCCGCCTCCCCACAACACCCGCCCCCCCACAACACCCGCCCCCCCACCCACCTCCCACCCTGCAAGAGCCCCCCCTGCGAGCACTTCAACGTGCTCTCAGACCTCTCTGCTTACTTCGTTCCCGGATCCCTCACGCTCATCTGCGGCCCTCCTGGGTGTGGTGATTCCCTTGTGTTGAAAGTAACGGTCCGGGCCTTGGGTTGATGAAATAGACGCACGCGGCATTTGCCCCCCCACGGCCTCGCCGCTGCAAGAACCCCCCATGGGGACGGTTCCAGCATGTTGCTCTCAGGCCTCGTTGCCTGCTTCGTGCCTGGATGCCTCACTCGCCTCGCCATCCTCCCGAGGGGCCAATCATGCGTCTGGGCGTGTGATTCAGGCCAATTATGAACCACAAGGCTGCCTGCCTGCCTGCCTACCTGCCTGCCTGGGCGAGATGTTCAAGTCACGCAGATCATGGGGCCCCTGGGATGTCACGTGGTTGGCGGCGGCATGGCTATTGATTGGGTCCACTGGGACACGTTCCTGCTGGCCATGGCGATGCTACAAGAACAACCACCCATACCGGCTTCTCGATTTTTGAGGCGCATCAAAAATAGATTGGGTCCTCCCGGACACACTCCTGTTATTGATCGATTAGGGGTTGATTGGCGATGCTAGAAGAGCAACCACCCCTACCAGCTTCTCGATTTTTGAGGTGCCTAAAAAATAGATTGGGTCCTCCCGGACACATTCCTGCTGTTGACCGATTAGGGGTTGATTGGCGATGCTGGAAGAACAACAACCCCTAACAGCTTCTCTGCGCCGCTTGAATGTGCCTGGCTGGGTCTTGTGAGCGGACTCAGTATGGCGTAGAGACGAGGACGATCACTCACTCCCCCCCTTCCCCGCCCACCCCTCTCTCCCCACCAGGCAAAACCGTTCCACAAGGCCATAGCAGGCCGGCTGGTCGAATCCAAGTCGCTGAAGCTGTCTGGCGAGGTGACGTACAATGGGCGCGCGTGGCGGGACGTGCAGGTGCAAAGGTTGACCAATTCCCTCTTCCCCCACTCCTCCCCTTCCCCCCATTCCCCTCCAGGCAAATCGGCCTTTCACAAGGCCATAGCTGGCCGGCTGCTCGAGTCCAAGGCCCTGAAGCTGTCTGGCGAGGTGACGTACAACGGGCGCGCGTGGCGGGACGTGCAGGTGCGGCGCATGACGGCGTTCGTGGGGCAGACGGACGAGCACATCCCCACGCTCACTGTCATGGAGACGTGCAAGTTCGCGCAGGAGTGCGGGCGGCTGTTCACACCGAAAGACTATGAGCCCATGCAGGGGCTGGTGGAGATGGTGAGTGGTGGTGGGTACATGCTGCGAATGGTGGTTAGTTACATGGTAACTGGCAGGTGGATAGCAGCAGCGCCCATGCCCACAGCCATGGAGTGCACGAGGTGTTGGTCGTGCCCAAGGACTACGAGCTGCTGCAGGCACTGGTGGAGATGGTGTGTGGTGGGAGGGGGATGTGAGTGGTGGGAAGAGGATGCAGAGCGTAGTGGGGGATTGGGGATGGGTAGGTGGGAGGGGGAGTGGTGGGTGGGTGGGTGGGTGAGTGGGTGGGTGGATGGGACCTGAGATGCCTCTGCCTACCCCTCCTCCTCTGCTTCCTTCTCCTCCTCTTCCTTCCCCCTCCTCTTCCCTTGCCCCCATCCCCAGGTCTCGCACGGGATTGGTTCCACCTGCTTTGGTCATCCCACCTTTACTTTACCCCCTCTCCCTTTTCTCCCAACTCCCCACTTGCTGCTACTTCCCCCCCACCCCCAAACCCCAACCCCAAACTCCCACCCCCAAACCCACAACCCGAAACCCGAAACCCCCAATACCAAACCCTCATCCCTAAACCCCAACCCTAATCTCCAGCCCCAAACCCCCAACGCTAATCCCCCAACTCCCAATTCCCAACCCTAACCGCCAACCCCAAACACCAAGGTGTGCACAGAGCTGAGCAGCATGGACCTGACGCTCGAGACCACTCTCCACCTGCTCTCATTCCCTGCCTCTATCTCACCCCTCTCCCTACCTTTCCTGCGCCTTCACACCCCCCAGGTGCGCACACACGGAGTTTGGTGGCATGGGCCTGAAGCTCGAGATCACGCTGCACCTGCTCTGATCATCCCACCCCTACCCCTCCCTCCGTGCGCCTTCCCCCATCCCCCACATCCTAACCCCCCCAAACCTCAAACCCCAACCCCCAACCCCCAACCCCCAACCCCCAGGTGCGCACGGAGTTTGGCGGCATGGACCTGAAGCTGGAGTTCACACTGCATCTGCTGGGGCTCAAGGCTGCAGAGGACACCATCGTGGGCAGCCGCACTGTGCGGGGCGTCAGCGGGGGGGAGAGGCACCGCGTGACCACTGCAGAGATGATGTCGGGTGTGTGTGTGGCGTTGGTGTGTATGTGGCGTTGGTGTGTGTGTGGCGTTGGTGTCTGTGTGGTGTGGTGTGTGTGTGGCGTTGGTGTGTGTATGGCATTGGTGTGTGTATCGCGTTGGTGTGTGTATGGCGTTGGTGTGTGTATGGCGTTGGTGTGTGTATGTGTGGCTGGAGCTTCTGCTCTCAAGGCAGTGGCGGGCGCCATCATGGGCAGCCGCACTGTGCCGGGCGTCAGCGAGGGGGAGAGGCACCAGGTGACCACTGCAGAAATGATGTCGGGTA